TATTTACATGCATTCTTATTATAACAAAAGTTATCATCATTTCGTTTACATGCATTCTCACTTAACTACATGTGGATTTCACTAGGTATATTCGAATATAAGTTGTCTAGATGACTACAACAGAGTTAAAATTATGCAACTGAAAACATAGATTTTCAGTTTGTGAGAGGGGGGGATAAGCTGTTGTAATCTTATAGTCCAAGAGTTAAAGTTTCTTCTAGTTTCTTCTAGTGGTCATAGCGCAGGTGAAAGGTTCACACAGCGGCCACCGGTCGGGTCTGTTACCTGGGATACCAGCTAATTGAATGCTGGGCGATTAACACAAAGGCTCCTGCAGAACACAAAGGATTCGGCAGTTGAGATATTTCCATTGTCCAAGTCGGACGTGTTTCCGCGGGGTTAGCGGAAACTGTGTTGGCTCTCTGTATGAGGATATTATAGAAACGTTTTCTCTTTGTGAGGTTTTGATTTACCGTTGTTTGCGGGAGACAGTTCAATGTCTATTTACTTATTTTAATGGCAGGAGCCCATTGAGAAAAGCTGCTGTAATCTTTTATATCATCAGAATAGATAATGGAGATTTATTATCGTACATGTTTTATTGAATAATCATCATCATCTTGTGACGTGTAACTTTAATGCCATTAAAGTTTATGTGGCCTGTCACAAGCGTTATTGTTGGCTTGTAAAGGTAGCGACTGTATTACATGATGCTGTGTCGGTGCCAAGTGTGCCAGTTATAGAATGCAGGACTTCACTGTAGCACATCCATCAAGGAGATATCCAGCGGAATACTAGAATAGGCACCCTAGGCCTAAATACTTGGTTGAATATAAAGTATACAAAAGAATGTACAAATTAAGTGTACAACACCATCTATCTACTATCTATCTGTGTATGAGTGAGTGTGTGTGTGTGTTTGAATAAAACAGAGATGCACTTCAATGTACCAGGGTTCGATTTCTGTGGTGGTCTGTATACTTTTCGTGGCTTGTAGAGTGGTAAGAGAGTCACACCGTAGAAGTTATGAAGCCTCACCAGGTACAAAGACAGCCGTGAATACACAGCAGGCCAACACTCATTGTTGGAACAGCAAAAAACAAGGAGGTAGAGAGAGAGTGAATAAATGAACAGTGAGTGAGTGTGTGTGTGTGTGTGCGTGTGTGTTCAAACACAGAGGCAAAAGTTATCCTCAATTACTTTTGTCTCATATAAAATTTGTGGTAGCTACTGACACACAAATTGTAAAGAGTTTCCGCAGCTAGGCCTAAATTATCCCTGGCATCTCAATCCCCGTGGTGTTTTCAAAACGCCTGCCAGGTCTCTCTCTCTCTCTCTCTCTCTCTCTCTCTCTCTCGGTATGTGTGGAGAAAGTATGTGACAGGGATGAGATGTCATCAAGTATTTTCATAGATCGATTATCATTAGTTGTTGTTGCTGTATGCGTTTACCGGCTGTAAACCCTGCTTGTTTGTCGATTTCTACACTTTAGCTTTTGTGTGTGCAACCGTTTTACAGATCTAGTTTATATCTGTTCATATCTATGCAGACTGTCGGTTCCTTGCCTCCTAGGCAGATGCACTCTGACTTTGAAGGAACCCCCATATTAGTCGACTCTTACGACGTGCTTGTTGGGGGGGCAGTGAGTCTATTCTTGTTTTCCCCCCAAACAGGGACCCTGGAACGCACACGGGGAGATGAGTTTAGTGATTACAATTTCACTGTCTATTTCTGTGTACCCCTTTTAGACTAGGTCCCACCTAGAATCCACAGCCATTTAGAAAAAAAAGCCTCCTGATACGGATCTAAACCCTAGACCTTCAGTCCTCAGACAAACCTCTAGCAACAGTGCTACGGTGGCTCCCTGACCTTTCTTGCATCACAGACAAATGAGGCGTCAGGTAGCCGCTGACATAGTGCTCTGTTTGTTTAGCTGTCAGGAGAACACCCCTCACCCAATGCTTTGATTTTCATAGAGTTCATTCAGAGCTGCTTCAGATGTCAGAGGTGAGCTGTTTCCTAAGTGCATTTGATTTTTTTCAAGCGAATTCCTGACAACTTACTTCCTCCACAACCCCCCTCCTCTAATCCCATGTGCATGCGTCTGTGTATGTATGTGTGTGTGTGTGTGTGTGTGTGTGTGTATATACACACATATGCATGTATAAATATATGTGTGTTTGTGTGTGTGTGCGTGCATGTGTCTGTATGTATGTATGAGTTTGTATGTATGTATGAGTGTGTGTGTGTGCATATATGTATGCTTTACACTTTTGGCTCGATCTAATTTCACAGAGTGACTGGGACCTGTTGACAGCATTGTTAAAAAAATTTTAAAAATCTACAACTCCAATGACAATCCACAGGGATCTCTGAAAAAAAACTGCACATGATAAATGATTCAAGCCAAAACCAAACCCACAACCTTTAGAATGTGAGGCAAAGGGTTTGACCACTTTGCCACGAGTATCACCAATCTACATTTCTAAATGTCTTTATGGCACAATTTACATTTATGCACAACTGTTCACTGTTCCCAAGGGAGGTAATTTTTAGATGTTACTATACTTGGGAAGAAATTAGTAAACACGCATACTTAAATTGTAGTATGAAAGACATTGCACGGCAGTATTATTGACCTCTCTTTGCTCACAAACATCACCACAATGTCAGTAATACACAACCAAAAAAACTGTGCTTGTATTGGTAGGGAGGGGGAACACATTTGCATGAATGAAGACAGCCGAAGAAATTTAAAAAAAAACTGGCAATGAAAGTATGAAAGTTAGCTTTTTCTTTCAATTTCTCTTATATTCTAGATTTTCATATTTCTCCCAAACATTGGTCTGCAACTTTTATTCTAAGCCAGGGTTGCCAGATAATAAATTTCATTTTATGCCAGACAATTACCCAAAATATGCCAGAAAATGCCAAATAAAATGTAGCATTGTACTCACTTCATATCAAAAGCTCTAGATTTAATTCTTCACTGTCATTTTCACTGGAAACGGTGGAAGATACTGTGTACAACTTTACGGATGTAAAATCTTTAAGCATTTTCTCAGATAGGATGAAGTCTTTGCAACTCATCTATAATGATGGCATATTTCTTGTTCCGAAAATCATCAATAAGGTCATCCTTAAGTGCAGACGATATATTATTTTTTATTAGGCATGAACATTTAGTTCTATGCAACTGTATGTGTTCCAATGTACTCCCTCGACCATGCGCTCTCATGATTTCACTTAGATGATCATTTGTGCGTATTGCACATTGGCAGGTCATGCCTACAGCAAGGTGCAACTCTGCTGCTTTAACTTTATTGTTACTTTGCGTAGGCCCTTATTACAGCTGTAAAAAACTGTGACAGGTTTTTTGACGGAGTTTTCATGCTGTGTTTTTCGGATTTTTCATGACTTGATGTGCTACTAATTCTTGGTGCAACAGTGCACTGACACAGTTTGCGATATGCTGCTTCTGATCCGTCTGAAGATCTTTCAAGCCGTGGGTATGTTTTATGCCAGTTACTATTATGCTTGCGATGTCATAAAATGCTTTCCTTGGGGGAAGAGGGGGGGAGGGGGGGGGGGGAATGACGTGGCCATTGGTAAAAGTAATAAAATCTATCACAGATAGAACTAGGTCTAAATTCTCTCTATTTTCTGTCCTCGGGTAGTTACTGAACAGTCTAAATCACTTGGTATCAGTGGTGGGTTTTGGTTTTATATCCCACATTTATTCTAGTAGGTTAACATAAATTATAGAGGGCCTTGATTTAACGAAGTCACGATCCGTTTAGGAGACAACAAATGAAATAAGAAATGGCGCGAATCTCCTTTAGTCTGTACCAGGACATCATAACAAAGTCAAACTGAAATAAAGATGTTAACTGTAGGTCTACATTGTTTTTTAGTAAATCTGCGTGTTTCTAACAGAGGAACCATGAAGAAAATGTGAGCACATCTTGATAAGAAAAGCCAGGGAAAACCCAAATATGCCCAAATATGCAACCCAAATATGCCAGTTCATTATCTTATGCCAGTTCAATTTCAAATATGCCAAATTTGTAGAATCTGGCATAAAAAATGCCAATATGGCAACCCTGTTCTAAGCTTCAGTTATCAAGTTTTTCCCATTTTCAAGTTCTGCTATGATTCTTTTTCAATCTTTAACAATGAAACACTGATAATATTTAGCTAAGAAACACTGACAATATTAGGCACTGAATCTAATCATCTTCAGCACTGAAATATTGATAATCTTTAGTAAAGAAATTCCCCATATGGGTTGAGGGAAGAAAGAATAGAGGCAGGGCATGTGGCAAAATGAGACATTTAAAAGTTTGTTGAAATCAAATGTGTTTGGCTGGAAAGTGCAGATATCATGGCTTCTAAACTAAGACACAATGTACGAACTGACTTTTAAGGGTGAACACAGAAGAGCCTGCAGCCTGAGGGTCTTGTTGAAATCTGCAGTCTGATTTTTGTTGCCCAAAATTGACCCTGGCCCCCAGATCAACCCAGCCTAAACATGAGTACCGGTTAAAGGTTAGAGTGGGGAGGATTTACTTCTTTGCACCAGGTTTTATCCCACATGGCTTGGTCTCTCTCCGCAGAACAGCTAGCTGTGTGCTGAGAGCAACGCACAAAGTCAAAGTTAAAATCGGAGAGGATCGACTTCATTGCACCGGGTTTTATCCCACATGGCTTGGTCTCTTTCAGCACAAATTCTGTAGCTCCAGCGATGATTCCCAGGAGTCTCCATAAAAACTGCATTCATGAACTGAAGGAAACAAATCCCTGACCATCATATGACCACTTCGCCACGTTAATCCCTGGGAAGTAAAGGTGACCATCATGATGCTGACCACATCCCTCACCGAGGGCTAACTAGTCTATAAAAGTATGAGTCCAGCAACACGATGCGCCACTGGTGTGAAAAGGGTCCGTTCCTGACTTCCCAGAAGAAAAAGCACAGAAACAAAGACAGGAACTCTCACCTAATGGCAGAAGTGTCCTTCCCACATGAGGAAAATGTCATGGAGTTGCGTTCACAAATCTCACGAAGCTGTTTCCTCACTTCCAAGGCAGTTTGCATGTTGCGTGCATTAATAAAATTCTCAAAGCACCAGCTCTGAAAATTCAAACAACATGTTTTTAACAAATAAATCATATCCCCCTATCTGACAGTCAAGTGTGCTAGCCACACTGCAACCTTAGCTTTGAAAAAAAAAAAGAAGAAGAAGCAATCAGTGGTAAAACTTTACACATGAAAAAATAATAACAGAAATGTATTGTTAGGTTTGATTTTCCGTGGCAAAAAGACACATGACAAACGGTATTGTCAGTGCTATACCAAGCAACTTTTTTCTTCTTCTTCTGCCTGTTATCCACCAATAGAGCATACTGTCGTGAAATGATAGCCATTACGCATCGGTCTGTAAGGCTGATAACCTGTCTTACCTGTAATCTGAAAAAAATTCAAACTTGGACTCGCCCGGAAATATATAGTCCCTTATATCTATATATATAGGCCTTTATTGGACAACATTATTATGTCTGCCTTTTCTGGTTACTTTAACTAAACTCCACTTTTAAATGTATATCTCTTCGATATATATTCAGGGAGTTATTTGAGGTTTGTTGGAAACCGATTTACTCCTTGCCCATGTATACAAGGGATTTCTTTTGTTACCAACGCCTGAAGTGTCTAAGTGACGCTATTCTCTTTGCCAGCTTCTCAAGCGTCCAGATGTGTTAATCTGTGCCTGTATAAATTTCACTTTTCAAGGCAATCTGGAATGTCTCAGTTTTTACATATGCTTGGGATGTATCTTTTGTGAAGAGCTGGCAGAAGATTCACAGTTCAACCAACACCCACCAACTATAACCCTGCAGTCAATTAACCCATCACATACTTATTGTCACCCAACTACCAATTGAGAAGACTGTCCTCCTCAAGATGGGATACAATATAACCCAAACATCATCCAGTGTCAGAGCATGTGTGTAACTCAGGGACAGTACTGTGAGTTACTTGTGGGAGCAAGTTCTGTGTACCTATCAAGTTGATGTGTCCTCTATGGTGAGGTACTCTTCCATTACCTGATCCAGTTGAGCAGAATTACCAGAGTCAAAGACAGTCGATTCACCCGGAGCTGAGTGAGGCATCAACAGTGGAATTGGGAAAAGTGAAGTTTATGTCTCGATTATGCTATATTCCCCACAGCTCCACTGGATTCCAAGGATGAATATATGCTTCCTCCAGGACTTTCTGACTGTTTAACTTTGGTTGATTATAGTCATTGTATTCTGGAATCCAGCTGTTGTGTTTTGACATTTACTTCTCTCTATCACCTTTTTAACTTAGTAGCAGTTGTGTGTGTATGTATCTTCATTATATGTGTTACATGGTTATGATAATGACCTATCATAACCTGGGGCTTTCTTTAGTAAGTAGTGGGGGTGTCCAGCCAAGTGTGCCTAGAAATATTGTATTCATATACTGACATATTTTGTAGTGCCAATACTTGAGTTGCCCTACTCCAGAGATAAGTTGAGCGTATATTGGCCACGGGGAATCCCTTAGACCAATACGAGCCAAACGACTCAACATAATTATCTCTGAGTGCTGTTGGTTCTGAAGGAGGAATCCTTACATTAGGCACGCGACAGGAGTGATATGTGACACATAGGTCCTCAAGTATACACCTAAAGTCATCCTTTGATGACAAGAGTGACTAGTAAGATCTGCTCACATTACGAAAAAATCTTCTCCACTGCAAATATATCTTCTTCTTCTTCTTGGCCTTCACTGGCTGTAAACTCCGGCAGAAAGTTATGGTTGTTCATCCATTTCTAAACTTTGGTCTTGTTCCAGAATGTATTGCATGCACATCTGTTTCACAGATATGGCTTAGTGTATGTAGACTGTCGAATCATCACTTCTCAGGTCGAGGCACTCCTACTTCCAAGGGAACTTCCCTAACTAGTCATCCAGCACAACATGCATGTTAAGGAGGTAGAGAATCTATCCACAAACACCCATCAAATGGGGCCCCAGAACCCCCACAGGGAGCATGTATTTGCCATGCTGTTTCTCAGACACACAGCTCTGACCATATATGCAGTAATTTTCTCATTTCTCCCCATTCCCTTTCCACTCCACATAACACGACCCAACGCATCCTGTTCCAATGAATCAATCTCAATACCCGCCAGTATCACCCACACATACAAGACTTATACTGTTGCGCTGCATTCTCAGAATGAGATCATCTGTTTTATATTATTTATTATTAATATTTTTAAATTTTTATTTGCTTATGTATTATATTTAACAGTTTATATGATTCACACTTTAAAAACAAGCGGATTTCACCAATGAGAATATGTTGCCAATAACAAGATACTGTATGTAGCTGCAACACATGAATTTTACATTTTAAAGCCATTTTGTACAGTTGCAGAATATGAAATAATTTTTTTAAGATTAACAATCATCAGTTAATCAGGGCCGTCTCCACAGTGTAGGTTGGCTGCAAGGAATCTCCAACACGCTCTGACTCTTGTCCTGGTTCCTGGTTGTACACTCTCTCAGACTGCTCCCAGTCCATATCTTGATGTTATCCTTCCACTTGTATCGTTGCCTACCACTTGCTCTTTTGCCTTCGATCTTTCCCTCCATTATGGTTTTTAAAAGCATGTTATGTCTTTTATTAAGGCCAAAGTATTTCAACTGTCTCTTTTTTATTTCTTTCAGTGATACATCTATCATTTTTGGGCCCAGAAAGAGAGTGACTTCCATTCATAAAATGCCGTGCCGCAGGGCTTGTGCTATGTTGCAGGTGTCAAGATTAATGACCAGGCAACATGCACCATTTTACTAGTTATTGTCACCTGCCAGTGATATCGCATGTTCTATATTACAGGACGTGAGCGTTTTTACCGGCCCCACATAGTGTTGATGGCGGGTTTAAATCTCAGAGCAAAAATACATGCATGTTGTCAGCAGGCAAAAGTTAAAAGCTAAAACAAAAAGACACACATGTAGCCATATGAACAATGATATACCTTGTTGCCATTTACAGATTTGTAGCCACGATAAATATTTAGAAGTGTAATGTGATCACCATCACTAGACATAAACTTCTGGCGTGCCTCTAAACTCTCTTTTCTCTGCAATATGTATTAGAACACCTTATAAACATAGTAAACTATCTTTTCTCTACAATATAAGTGTATTAGAACACCTTATAAAACTAAAAAAAACTCTTTTCTCTGCAATATGAGACCATTGGAACATCTTAAAAATACTAAACTCTCTTGTTTCTACAATGCGACAGCATTAGAAGATCTTAAAAACACACTAAACTCTCCTTTCTCTGCAATGTAACAGCACATAAATATCCCCTAAACACAATAAACTTTTATTTCACTATATTGTAACATTAGAAAATCTAATAAACACATTAAACTCTCCCTGCCCTACAAGGCAAACTTTCTAGGGCTGTACCGAATAGTGGGACTAACTATTCGGCCGAATACGAATAGTGTATCATCATCATCAGGTGCCTTGCCGACTGGCGTGGGCGATCATGCCTCTCCACAATCTGCTATCTCCTGCAGCATGTATCAGTTCGTGTGCTGACACACCTCCATGCCATGCAACAAGACTGTCAAGAATCTTCTATCGTTTTCTTCCTCTATCCCTCCTTCCACAGATCTTTCCAGTGGTCACCAAATGTTCCATTTTCCCTCTTCTCATAACATGGCTGAAAAATGACGACTGTTTCCTTCTGATGTCTGCAATTAGTTGTCTTCGGCCTCCCGCCTCTTTCAAAACCGTTCGATGTAATTTAAACGCACCTTCATATTCTCCTTAGAAATATTTTCAAATTTGATTTGGGCGAAGACATCCTGAAAGAACGAAAAATGCATGACCTCCCCCCCCCCTCTCTCTCTCTCTCACACACACACACAGACACATGCACACACACCGCGGTTGGCATTTTATGCAGTTTGTTCCATGCAACCGGGTCGCAGTTTCCCCCGCTACGAATGACTTGGGCAACAGCAACTATTGTGTTAATGAGAGAGTTATTTCAGTCCATCACAGTGTATGCAGAAGCGGGAGTAAGGTAACCACTATTTGTATTCGGTCCGACCGCAACTGTTTGGCCGAATACCGAATAGTTATTAGGTCCACTATTTGGCCCCGAAGCGAATACAAAGCAAATATTCGGTACAGCCCTAAAACTTTCCCTTCCTTACAATGTAACACCAATAGATAATTTAACAAACACACTAAAACATCTTTTCTCTGCTAAGTAACAGCATTAAAACATCTAAACACACTAAAGTCTCCTCTCACTACAATATGTCCAGGACATTCATTTATTAGCTGCTGCCACACCTCTGGGCAGGGAATTACCATATGATAAAGTGGATGTGGTGAAGGCTCTACCAGATCAAATATATGTATGTATATGTATGTGTGTGTGTGTATGTGTGTGTGTATATGTGTGTGTGTGTGTATGTATATATATATATATATATATATATATATATATATATATATATATATATATATAGAGAGAAAGAGAGAGAGAGAGAGAGAGAGAGAGAGAGAGAGAGAGAGAGAGAGAGAGAGAGAGAGAGAGAGGTTGCGGAAGATCTTCAACACTGAAGGAGAAACGGGCTTCTAATCAGGTTTCAACTGATACTATTATCATGTCAGCTCTTCAGTGTTTACCAAAAAAGGGGAACGATCATGCGTGGGAATGTCCTGAGTGCACTGATCTTAATTCTTGATTCATTCGTTCAATACAATATAACTATTTTTATTTTCAATACCATTTAACACATTTAGAAGCTCTGATAAACACACTAAACTGTCCTCTTTCTACAATGTAACTGAATTAGTAAATCTTATAGCCACACTTATCTCTCCTTTGTCAACCATGTAACAGCATTAGAATGGCTTCTCTGTGTATCTTGTGTGTCTCTTTTTATTTCTTTGGCCATGTTGGTGGACACTCCAGGACTGTCTAGTTATATTATTTAATACCTTCAAAATCAGATTACATTACTTGTCTCTAGTAAATAGGCTCTTCTAGAATCATAATTATCTTTCTTCAATACTGTATGTTTTATTAAAGCATTAAAAGCTATTTTTTTTTTTCTGTACAACCTGTACAACAAATAGCTTTACTAGTTATTTTTGTAACTAAACCTCTGTAAATAAACACACACACAAAACACATACCTTGCTTGACTGGCTCACAAGAACATTATCCACAGACAGTACTGAAATGATGCTGAGGATTTCCTCCCTATAAAACAAAATAAACAACAAAAATCTTATTTTTTTAAAAATAGAAAATTTAATTTCATAATTTATTTTTTCATTCTGTTTTTCTTCTTCTGGTCCAACATGGCAGGCCGACTGTTCAAGTTCTAATACGTTTTGCTTCTGGACAAATAACAATTTTTAGTGATCTGTGTAAAATGGTTGTTTTTTAGGGGGAGGGGGGATTTAAATTGGCTCATGGCCCAATTTTTAGCATTCCAAGGGGAAAAGGGATAACAAGCATGTTGTCAAAGATGTCTAATTTATGATTTGGGGGGGGGGGGGGGGGGGGGGGGGGGTTATTTGACCACACACAAGGATATTGGAGTAAAGCTGCTGTTTTTGCTCATGATGTCTATGAAGGAGTGGAATCATGTGCTGTGGTGCTAGACTTGGAAGATGCATAAAACAAGGTGCTCTGTGAAAAACTCACACATCAACTCCTAAATATCAACATTTCCTCCACTCATTAAATGGAGAGCAGCAGCACTGTTCAAGACAAAATCAGGTTGTTTTCAAATGTGGAAGATGGATCTCTGAGTTGAAAACCAAACACCCAGGATTGCCCCAGCGATCACCTTTATCCCCTAGTCCTCTTCAATAAGGGAGTCGCCGTGGCAGAGCGGCTAGACGCGCGCCGCGGATCGGAAGGTCGTGTGTTCGCTCCCTGGCGGAGACGGACTTTTCTTAAAAAATGACCTTGGCTCCTAGGTCGACCCAGCCTTGAGTGGGTACTGGGTGCAATCCCGGGAAGTAGAGGCGGCCGGCGTGATGCTGACCACATCACCTATCTTGTGCCGTTGGTCTATGAAAATATAGGTCTAGCCCAAATGCCCTATACGCCTAAAGGCGTGGAAAGGGTCCTTTACTTTTTTTTTTACCTCTTCAATATTTTCACTACTGAGGTGACAAAATATCAAACCACAGGTGAAGTTAGAATACTCTCATACACAGATGACATACTAGTGTACTGCCAAGGCAAGAACAGGGGCAGCATTGTAGAAGAACTCCAGAAGGAACTCGGATGCATAGCAGATTGGTGTCAATCCTTCAGGCATGGATTAACCCTTCAAAAGCGACTACACCTTAGCTCTCTTTAAACATCCGCATAGCACACATAATAACACCCTCTGTGCATATGAATGGTGAAGAGATAGCAAGGCCTGAACTTTAAAAATATCGGAGAATACGTTTTGATCACAAGGCAGATGTGATCAAGGCCCTTGGGGAACAAGCAACAGAATCAGCAGAAAAAGAATATTTAGCAGAGAGGAATATTATTATGGCCTGGAGAGAATGAGGTACCTGGGTGTAACCAGAGGGTCTGGCCGGCTCACTACACACAGAGGAAAGGCAAGATGGACATATAACCAGACTGTGACCAGTACCATCAGTATTGGAACTTTGCGCTGGCTGCTAAAGATGAGGACGGAGCATGCTTGCAAATGCCCCGAGTACTGTGATGTTAATTCTTGACTCAATTCAACTCAGTTTTGATCAGAGCCTTAGCCTCTATGATCAACAAGGCCAGAAAGCAATCAGGTACGTGTAAATTACCTACTTACAGGTCAATGGCTAAGGCAGCAGAATAAAAGGTAACACCAAGGAACTAAACTACAAATACTTTCAAATGTTATTACTTAAGTGTACCTCTTCAGTATGGAGAGTAAAACAATACTTACAAACACCCATACTCTTTAGCCAACAGAATAGTTTTTGCAAATCTGGGATCCAATGGAAAAGCTGACATTTGTTTACCCAAAGGTGTTAGCTGAAAAGAGATGATGCACGCATATGAATTGTGAAACAGCTTATACTTAACTACCTTCCTTCTTTTTTTTTTAAATTCCTTCCTAAAAAATGATAACCATTATTTGGTACCCATTTTATCATCTAAACTCCATACAGAAGTCATCTGTAAAGAAATTTAATGGCAGCCAGTCTGCAATACAAAGGGCTTGTACAAAGTTATATACTGATCTCATTCTGGGCACCGCAAAAAAAATTATCGCTAGCGGCACAGGGCTATGATTAACCTGCTCTGATGTGCTTTTGCTTTGAGTGCTGGCATCCATCGTTAAAGGGACCTGGCAGATACAGAATAAATGTGTATCCAGGTCAGAATGCCACCCCCCCCCCCCCCTCCCACAACCAAAATGAGTACAAAGATGGGTTCTCCATGCTTCATCTAGGTAGAATACTAAGAATGTTTGATTTGAATAGTGAGTCATTTTACCATCATCATGCAGCAAGCTTTTAGTTTTAACATGTGTCAGCCAAAGTTTAAGACCCACTACAGACATGGAACAAAAGTTAAATGCCATGTGAGACAGATTATTTTAAATCACATAATAACTTAGGTTAACTATCTCCCATCTGAAAGCAACAAATGCCTGATGAAAATGATGAAAATAAACTGGGTTGAATTCAAAAGGGGGGAAAGAAATAATAGAAATGTATGGGAAACTACATGTATCAACAGTTGTGAGTCAAATAAGATGGCGATACAGTAAACATATCCTGAGAAAAGATGAACAAAAAATCACTAAACCGGCACTGAAAGGGGAAAATGAGGACATCTAAGAGAAACCTTAGAGAGAAAGTTGATGAGAGAAGCCAAAGGTGCTGGGCGGGATTCCATCTATGATAGCAAAGTGACTTCACAGGATAGAACAGAATGGAAATATAGCCTGTAAGCCCTATGTGACATATAATGGCACAGTAGGACAATGAATGAACAATCAAGTAATTTACAGAACATCGCTCCTATCACAAAATACAAGAAATTATCACTGCCCTTGTCAATTCTCCTGCCTTGGGTATTTCATACCCACCTTATGTGTTTCCAGTGTCCAACCTCATGCTATCTGACCCCCCTAAAGGTCAAAAGGATTACTTGATTGTCCCAGGTTTTATTCCATGTGGCCCAGTCTCTCTTCGCAGAATGGCTAGCCACATATTAAGAGCATCATAAAAAGTACACACATAATAGCTCGAATGACGATCCACATGGATCTTCGTAAAGACTGCACTCATAAACTGACCAACACAGCCGTGAAATGAACCCACACTCTTTACAGCACACAAGTCAAACGGCTTGACCACTTCGCCACGGAGATCCCCAAGGTATTTTGGTTTACAAAATGTGATCCTTCTAATACTGACAGTGAAATTAAACAAAACAGTTGAAAAGAACACAATGAAAAAGTTCAACAATTAACAGCACAAACAGACATAACGCAAATACCTTTAGTATATCAGATTTGTCTTGTCTCTCTAGGGCCCCCAGCAACACAAGTTCCTCTAATGCTGCCTTTATGGACTGATTAGATTTACAACAGACAATTCTGGTTAGTGCAAAGAAAATTCTTATCAATTACTAAATCTCAGTTTTAATTACATTGAAGTTTTATATTATCAAATTACAAATTACTAATTTCCTTGTCTTCACAGTTCAAGTGCAAAAGACATTCTAGGTATATTGTTCTCACTTTTTCTCATCGTGTGTCCTATCCAAAACCAGAATCTTGTCTTCACCACTTGGTCCACTAGAGCTTGTTCTCTCCCAAAGCTCAACATTAACATATATAACCTAACAGTTAACCCAATAAGCTCGTGGAGGTGTATCGATGGAAGCACTAGCACATAAAACCAGCCATCTTTCTCTGTCTTCCTCTTGATGAATAAGTGTATTGAAAAAACTTAGTCCTGTCCATATCTTGAGGTTGGTATTACAGGTTCTTCTCTGCCCTCCTCTTCTTTTACTACACCCCCCCTCCCCCCTCCCATTCCAAATGTTTCCTGAAGTACAGTCTTTGCAATTGAATCATGTCTCACTATGTGCCCAAACCAAGCTAGCTTGTGACGTTTCACCACTGCCAAGAGAAGCTCAACATTAGCAATTCCAGAATCACTGTAGATGTAGATTATTCTAATGTTATTTTTATTTAATGGGAGCAGAGGTCAACTTTAACTTCTCAGTCTGTTCACAAATGAAGCTGGTGCAGATGAAATGCATTTTCTTTCTTGTTTGTAAAGTATTTAAATTCAACAATAATGATGATTAGCAAACTCCTGTAATAACAATTTCTTATAGAAAGATACAGCTTGACAAGAATCCCCACACGCAGTCGTGATCAGATATTGCCATCCCCCGTGTGGCTTCCGGGGCCCTATTTATGAAAAACAAGAATAGACCCACTGCCTGCCCAAAAGCATGTCGTAAGAGTAGACTAATTGGGAGCTTCCTTCAAAGTCGGAGTGCAACTGCCTGAGAGGCAAGGAACCAACAGTCTACACTCAAATGTGTCAGATCTGTCAAACAGATGCACACGCAACACTCAGGTTCTGGAACAGGACTGCAGTCCAGAAGTGGACGAACAACCAGAACTTTTCAACAGAGTTTACAGCTGGTGAACGTAAAGAAGAAGAAGAAGAAGATATTGCCATCAAGATGTGAAGTGTAAAACTGAAATTTACAATTATAAAATGAAAATAAAAATTATGCACTCTGCTATATTAGTCACTACACCAGCTGACCTAAAGGTCATGGGTTCAAATGTGCCAGATTTAATTCAAAAATTACCCGAGTTCTTAGGTCAAGTCTAAAATGAATACCAGGTAAAGTCCTGGGAAGCAAATAAGGCCAGTGTGATGTTGACCACATCACCCACTGAGGGCTAACTGGTCTATAAAAATATGAGGCTAGCCTCATACGCCAAATGTTGGACTTGCACGGAAAGGGCGTAGAAATAATTCAAACATTTATAAAAATAAAACAAAAATAATCACCTCAGGAGATGGCTTATCCATGAAGTCAAAAGTTAATACATCAGAAATACCTAGAGCCATAAGCTGTAACACAACACTAGACAAGTTGCACCTAGGAAGGAAAAAAAAAAACAATAGTGATTATCGATAACTACAAAACATCTAGATTCATAATTCTCCCTTTTTTTCAATAAATCTTTTACTGTATGGGGAAGGCAAGGGGAAATCACCTGAACAAAAAACACAAAAAATGTATCTCAGTCCCACAGCCAGATTTATGGTGGCATGACATGTTTAACAAAGTCTCCTTGCTATAAAGGTTCTGGATTCGGTTTTAGACTTATCATTTGGTTCACTAAAGGCAGATGTTTCATAAATAGCTGGCAGTCACTACTAGAGCCTCACAGAGTTCATGCTTTATGCAAAACACTTTGGGATAAAACCCAGAATAAAGACGTCACTCTTTTAAAAAAACCCTTAGCAGGCTAAAAATGATGCTGTTGATAGGTACATAAGGGGTTTAACATGGTGCTGGTAATTTGTACATCAGTAGGTTTAACTTGATGCTGATAATATGTACATCTGTGTGTTTCACATGATGCTGGTAAAATGTACGTGTGTGTTTCACATGGCGCTGGTAATATGTACAATAATGTGATCAACATAATGCTACTGATATGTGCAAACTGCACAAAGATTTACAGTATTTACATACATTTTTGTTAAATTACAAAACACAGGGGGCATTACTTTTTGACTGTCTCTCGTATATCTGATGGATAGAACTTCAACAATTAACCTTCAAAATTTACTTAATAAACAAAAATGAGCAAGCAGACCTCTGAATCTCTGGTACAGTGTTTGGACTCAGTTTATCAAACTCTGCTTCAGTAAACAGCCGGTAGCACACCCCAGGAGCTTCTCGGCCAGCTCGCCCTGTCCTCTGCAATACCTGAGCCTTTGATGCAGTTACCACTTTCAGAAGATCTAGGCCAGTGTGAGGGTTATACATTCTGCAAGGAGAAAGATTGTTGAATATGAAAATGACACAGATAACCTTCCAAGTGTGTTTCAAGTAGTAACATACATTAGCATTAAGGTAACTAAAGTCCATGTAGATGTGTAATGTGTGAAGATGCTTGTGATTCTAAGTCACCCCATCTGGTGAATTGCAAGTTAATTTATGTATTTCCTTGTGTTCTGTTTACAGCACAACTGCGATATTATCACAAGTCTGGCTTCAGTGAGCATTTGTTTACTGGCTTTACCTTTCCAGTTCGTTTAGGGGGACATGACATAGCCTTTTTGTGTGGTGTCCTTATCTTTGTCCACTTATCTACAGGTTGCCCCTTGAGAACCTGTCCAGGGCAACAATGTGTAGACTAGTGGGCTATTAAGGGAAGCTTATGGACATTCCTCACCATCCAAGGAGGCTTTCATAAATACAGAGCCAACATATGATGCTCTGGTCCTAGTCTCACCCAAGGAATCATCATGCCCTGGACATGACTACTTAACCTCACATCTGAGAATTCAGCTTCCCACCCATCACAGGCTGCATCCTCTGGAGATCAATAGGGAAAAGCCCACATGTCCACTTAACTCTTTGGGTCCCAGGGGGTTTAGCATCAGAGGCCCAAGGGGTAGTCAAGAGAAATGTAAAATCTGCTAGGAACCTATCAAGCGTTCCTTGAGACTTAAAGAGTTAAGAGTATTCTTTAACCAACAATTAAGTCTCAATCAAGCTCATATGAGGTGAATCCCCTTCTGTAAACCTTTGCTAGCTAAGTATATTGCATGTTACACATAGCTAGGGTAGGTAAAAAATGCAATTCAAAAGAGGACATACATGAGAAATACTGTACAGATGTGAACTACTTACTTTGCCTTGACCATTCCACTGTCAATGACATATTTAATACCTTGGATAGTGATGGATGTCTCTGCTATATTTGTTGAGACTACAACTTTGCGATAACCCTGAAATTATAAATTCAAGAAATAATCCTACATGTTAAAGGGTTCCCCTTTTTCTTCACCTCGTCTATTACTGCTTCAGGTGTTGAGGGAGATATAATGTTCTGCTTCTAGGTCTTCTGGCCATCTCAACCACAGACATGTCATACTGTTGTAGAGTTTCTCTGATGTTATTTTTCAGTTTTGTTCTTGGTCTACCTCATATTTGTCAACCTTGAAGCTCAAATCATGTAGAATGTTGGCATTTTTCTTTTTTCTTGGTTCACTGCATTCTACAAATTGTTCTACAGACCAAGTGGCATTGGAAGGATGATGTGGTAAAAATCGCACATACAATTTTAATTACTAGGATATTTCCAGTTACCCTTTTTTGACGGACAGCTCCAGGTCAATTATAAAAATCCACCAAACTATAGATCTGAGCCCAATACCTTAAGGCTAGTATATGTTGAAAATTTAGTCAGAGCAATTCATTTTCTAGAGGATGAGTTCTCCTTCTTCTTCTATGTTCACCCGCTGTAAGCTCCAGCAGAAAGTCCTGGTTGTTCGTCCATTTGTGCCAGAGCCTAATTTGTGTGTGCACATCTGTTTTACTGGCTTATTTGTGTGCAGTTGGTTGTTCCTCGCTGCTCAGGCAGACGCACTCTGACTTCGAAGAAAGCCACCAATTAGTTGACTTCCACGACATACTCTGGAAGGCAGTGAGTTTATTTTTGTTTCCCCACAATGGGGTCCTGGAACCCACAAGAGGCAGAGGCTAGTTTCAGGAAACAGAAACAAAAGAGGAAATGACTGCAGACAGGTTAAGAACTGAGCAGCTCAGAAAAAAATCACATTAAATACATGATATCACAACAATGGTTATGAAACCACATGCTCCAACTGTGGAAGACTTTTCTTAATGTGAATGGGTCTTGCTAGTCTCACACACTATAGCCTAGGTTTAGCACTGGATTGTTTTGTTTTGTTTATTTTGCTATACAGTTTCGTCGGTAACTATAGACGCGATTGCGACCCGAAAATTTGAAAACCAATTGTCTGTTATTGAGAAATTATTTTTCTGTGCTCTTTACGTGAAAGATAAAATCGGAAAAGTTATTAGAAGTTATTGGAGAGATGCCAGGCTTTGACCTGAGATGGTTTTGACGCGTATAAAATCAATCAATATTTTTTTGGCAGCGCGCAGTGAATAACGGTAAGTAATTTCGTAAATATCTTCTTAAATAGCCAGATTACCGCAATGTGTGTTGTATTTTTGAATTCTGCGTTAATTTTTAATAAGTGTGTGAAATTTCACAAACATTGGCAAATGCGCAGATGTTTAAAAAAATTGTTTAGTGGCATCACTTTTTCCCCTTTAAATACAATAACGGAAAGTAATTTTGTAAATATCTTCTTAATTAGCCAGATTACCGCAATGTGTGATGTATTTTTGAATTCTGCGTTAATTTTTATATAAGTGTGTGAAATTTCACAAACATTGGCAAATGCGCAGATGTTCAAAAATAATTATTAAATTAGCTAACGTTATTTTAAGAATTTTTTTTTTTAAATCTACAACCATTGTAGCATTTGTTCATGCATCTGTCATTATTTAGAGCCCTTCGTATTTTCTGTTGGAGATATTTTTGCCTGATCACCCCTAAATCCCAATAATTAATTTAGGCCATCATTGGTAAGACGATTCTTTGGTAATTAACTTAGGATGCTTAGTAAATTTACAATGTTATGTGAGTTACTTTTTAAACATCCACAAACATTGTACCATTTTTTCATGTGTTTGCCATTATTTAGAGCTTACAGAATTTTATGTTGGAGATATTTTTACCTGCCCATATCTTTATCACGAATTTCACAAATTCTGGCACTGAAAGTAACATTTTTTTTAGAACAAAGCATATAAAATCTAATCTAAAACAGTGTATAATTGTGTTTATTACAAGTGAAAGCACCTAATTCCAATATGACATTCCTTATGTATTTTTTATAATAGTTCTATTGTATATTTACAGTCATGGCAAGAAGGACAGCTAAGCATCTCAGAGATCATCTCTCAGTTTGTGAAGCTGGATACCCTATGCAGAAAGGCTACATTGCTCGACGTCTGCTAGTGGATGGTTATTCTATATCTAATGTTTTAAGTGAAGTCCAAAGTATGGTGCAGGCAGCAGAACCCAGCAAGTCTTTGAATGAGGGAAGTCTTACAACTAGTTTGTATAAATATAAAAGATTGATTTTGCATTTTAAAAAATGTTTAACAAAAGAATGGCAGTCACTTATTAGACTCTTCCTTGAACCATTTCCTATCACATTCATGAGCCTGCCTGTCATGCCTGATCCACAACCTGGACATACTTTACCAATACAGCACTCTCAATCATGTATGCCAGGAATGCAGCCATTATTAGAACCAGATACCCAACAGAGATCAGCACTCACACCGTTGTCTTCATTAGAAAATGTACCTCATTTTTCACCATCATGCAGATTGCCATCACTAAAGAAGCTTAAAAGAGATTGTGAAAACTGTGTCATAAAGCAAAGGACAGTTATGAATATGCAATGTGAAACGAAACGTTTACAACAGGAAATACGAAAACTAAAAATACAGGTAAGAGAAAAGCAACGATCACAGTTTTCCTTGAAAAGACTGAATGAAAAGATCAAGAGGAAGATACAGTCAAGCAATCTGTGGAGAGTAAAATATGAAACCTTGCAGAAAAAGTATGACAAAGAAAATGCTTCATTTGGATTAATTAACTATTATAAAAAGATAGTGAAAGACTTAAAAGTAACTTTGGAATGCAAAGTGGCTGAAATCAAAGACATAAATGCAGTCAATGTCAACCTGCAATGTGCCCTTCAAGACACAAAAAGTAAAATGAAGTTACTGCAGAAGGAGCATGATGAGATGCCAGATGGATTATTCCATAGTGGCTTTATAGATATAGCAGCAGCATGTGTGAAGCTGTGGTGATTGTATAATCACATCAAAATCCCACAGTATATCAATCGTCCATGCTGTCTCTGTTATTAGTGTATGCCTAGACTGTTGTCTTATGTACTCCTACACAACAAGAGAGAAGCAGTGATATGTATATGAAAACAACACTGTATAACAATGATCCTTGTTGTACTATTCCACCTGCCAGATGGATGTTTCGGCGCTCCTTTGATCCATTCCCCAAAATGGCGGTATGCCACATTCAGCCCATAAAATATCCAAAATTATCCGAACGACGGTGTTCCCGTATATCTAAAATACGGACTGTCTGCCAAGGGACAAATCGCGGCAAAACTAGAATTACTTGACAACCAATATTAACATTTGCACATGGTACTAGTAGCAGACAATAAATACCGACCATTGACAAAAATTTCGAGCGTTTCTGAAGACGATACTAGCAGACGATATTAGCGACCGTTGACCAATTTCGAGACATTACAGACGATGAAAGCCGATTAGCAATACTGTGTTCTTCCGATTGGAGGATTTAGCAGCGGTAGATGTCAGACTTGTCGGCATGCGCCAAACGTGATTAAACTCATCGCCGAGCGTATCTAGGTGCCTGGGACTCACGAGTACAGTAATTGGAGGAAGTTGCAGGAGATGCGGTAGCTGCCACTCGTGAGTCCCAGCCATCTAGTTTAGCCCCCATCCGCGCCGCGCGTAGTGGCGCGGGGGATACACTCGGCGGTGAGGCACACTCGCAGAAGCAGGTTGGCAAGCAACGTATCGCCGAGACCCTGTCAGAGCATTTGTTTCGTTATTCGGAGCCGGCACATATATTTTTAATAGAACTAACCCCGCATTCGGATATTTTATGGCCAGAAATTGGCCAATTTAGCTCTATTTTGAACGCCATCATATTAAAGCCGCCATTTTGGGGAACGATTCAAAGAAGCGCCGATGTTTCCATAGTGGCTTTATAGATATAGCAGCAGCATGTGTGAAGCTGTGGTGATTGTATAATCACATCAAAATCCCACCGGATATCAATCATCCATGCTGTCTCTGTTATTAGTGTATGCCTAGACTGTTGTCTTATGTACTCCTACACAACAAGAGAGAAGCAGTGATATGTATATGAAAACAACACTGTATAACAATGATCCTTGTTGTACTATTCTACCTGCCAGATGGATGTTTCCATAGTGGCTTTATAGATATAGCAGCAGCATGTGTGAAGCTGTGGTGAATGTATAATCACATCAAAATCCCACGGTATATCAATCATCCATGCTGTCTCTGTCTGTCTGTCTACATTTCATATGTATCTATCTCAATCCCCCTTTTTTTTCAAATGTAAGAACATTAGTGCTATTTATTGTTATCCCTCATGTATGCAGGTTATCATTCATTTCTCACTGTGGCATCATTACTAGTTAATACTTTTAGGTGCTTCGTGTAGTAAAGACATTCACATTCATACGCTTTCTATGTTAATTTTGTCAAAAAAAAACATATTTCCAAACTGTGTCTTTTTTCTTCTGCCTTCTATGCCCTAATGGGGCATTAGTCCTCAATCAACTCACGCTGTCATTATAGTCATTGCTATTACATTTGCTCTTAGTGTCTTCCCTATCTTTTTAACTTCACTTTCTAGCTCCCTTCTGCATGTGTTTTTATGGTCTTTGTATATTTTGATGCCCCTGATGGTTCCAGTACACAACGCATTGGCAGACAACTATAAATGTATCAGGTTTTGCTGGAAGAAAGTCAATTGATGGTCATTTTCATATGTTAATTAGGTCACGTCGACTGACCTTGGTATATTTTTATGATCTTTGTGTTCACCTTGTCGGGGCGCACAATTTGATATGCATGTCGCCAGGCTCGCTGGCGGATAAACTTACAGGTATGTTTTGCTTGAAAATAGTGAGCTGGCGGCCATTTTCATATGTTAATTAGGTCACGTCGACTGACCTTGGTATATTTTTATGATCTTTGTGTTCACCTTGTCGGGACGCACAATTTGATATGCATGTCGCCAGGCTCGCTGGCGGATAAACTTACAGATATAATGTTTTGCTTGAAAATAGTGAGCTGGTGGCCATTTTCATATGTTAATTAGGTAACGTCGACTGACCTTGGTATATTTTTATGATCTTTGTGTTCACCTTGTCGGGACGCACAATTTGATATGCATGTCGCCAGGCTCGCTGGCGGATAAACTTACAGGTATAATGTTTTGCTTGAAAATAGTGAGCTGGCGGCCATTTTCATATGTTAATTAGGTGCATAATGTATTATATGTTTTTAAAACGTGCATAGACAGTTAGGTCTAACTGTCCCGCTTCCAGCAATATTTGGTTGCTAAGGGATTCGTTCAGAAACAAAAAAGTTATGGCCGTAAAATCAAACATTGAGTCATTTCATCTCACTGGGTCGCAGCCGGAAGCCATGTTTTATCGATTTCCACAAAAATTTTTATGTCGTGGTGTCCGCCACTAAAATGTAAATATCTCCGCTTAGAATCAACTTACAGGCTTAAATGAGGTACCATTGGATTTGTAATTTTAATTTTCATCTAGCTGTTATAATTTCGTAAGTAAAAACCCAAAAAATAAAACTTCACTACCATCCCTACTATAGCCAGAGACTGTGATTTCCATGCTTTCCTGTAGCACAATATAAACACTATCATCTTGGAAGATGCCAACAATGATGGGTTCATCCACTCCATGAAAATAAACAAGTTACAAGTCAGATTGTAACACTAGACAAACAAAAAAAAGCTGGAAAACTGTTCAAAAAAAAAAAAAAATTTTTTTTAAAAAGAGATATTGATGCAGCTATCAAACTAGTAAATGTGTCAGGAAGAGGAATTTGTGACCAAAAAAACTAAAGATAATATATACTGGTGCAACTATCAATGGAGTAAATGCACCAGAAGCGGAAATGTGTGACAAAAAAAAAACTAAACATAAGCTTTACTGGTGCAACTATAAAACTAGTAAATGCATCAGGCAGCAGAATTTGTGTCACCCCCCCCCCCCCTTCCCATAAGATACTGGTGCAACTATCAAACTAGTAAATACATCAGGAAGGGGAATTTGTGACCCACAAAAAAAAAACTAAAGAAAAGAGATACTGGTACAACTATTAAACTAGTAAATACTAGTCTTTCCATTAGGCCATAATGAAAGTGACATTCTACAAAGGCCTACTATATGTAGGCTTTTGTACATTCACCTGGCCATACTATATGTGTATTATAACTGATGTCAGTAAACAAAAATACCCAGTACTGTATTACCGTAATTAGTAAATCATTAAACTGACTAGTATTTTACTACTGTAATAGGTGTCAGTAAACAATCCAAAATTTACTACTCCATCATGATGTTAACCACAACACCCACTGAATGCCATTTGGTCTTTAAAAAAATGTCTAGCACAATGACAATAAATCAAAGACAAGAAAAGTGTCTTTAACTTTCCTGCTTACTACTTACCTCTGTAATTGATAAGACACTGAACTGACTACTATTTAATCACTGTAATCTGTAGGTTAAAAACCAATAATTTACTACTGTAACTGATAAATAAACAAGCTTTGCACAACGAAACCCTTGCTGAACTAATGACAAACACTCCCTTCATATCTTACCTTAGGTGTCTTTGAAAATACTTTAATCTGAGTTTGAGATGGAAGGGCTGCATACAGTGGTAACACCAACAGCTGAGGCACATCTCGTAAGTCACGAGCCAGGTCACGAATAGTTCTCACCGCTGATTCAATTTCTTCTTGACCAGTCAGAAATATAAGAACATCCTCTCTAGAATTCAGAAGAAAATATTTAACCTACAAATAAAAATGTCTTGTTTTTGTTTTTCACTGCCTTTTTTTTTTTTTTAAACTGCAGTCACTATCTTAAAATGTGTACCATCTTCACAATGAATGTTGGCTGCAAAGCATCCATTGGGAAAATTACATGGTGACTCTCATACTACTGTCCAAGATCAATGAGAACAATCTTTTTTTTTAAAAATAAACTGTCAATCACTATTATCAAGTGCTAGGCTCACTGGTAATCAGTATTTACCACTTTCCTGCTAAAAAAATGTTTTCTTGACCAGTCAAAAAAAAACAGATGTGCTTAACTAAACTCTTTGACCTAATTCTGTATCAATTAAGAACATAATCATTAACTAAGAAATGAGCAGAAAGATCACACATAATGTAAACGCTAAAAACAAGCACAGGAAGAGCTACTATGAAGCCAAACATGACAGAGAGGACAGGAGAAGGAAGGGAAATGTAAATGGAAAAGAAATGAAGAAAAAAACATAACTGAAGGAATGTCACACTCAGATAAGACTGCTGAAACTACAAATAAGGCAATTTTCCAAGCAGCAGAGATGGGTGGTCTGATCCCTGATGCGAAATTTGATGGTGCAAAGATGTTAAATGCTGACTGATTTAAATATTTTTGCTATATCCTCTGTTCCACACACAGAAATGAATGTCAAGAGATAAAATTTATTCTAACTGCATTCTTACCCTGCTGGGGCCTCCTTGTGTATCTGGAAGAATGTCACCAAAGAAGCAAACAAGTAGTCACTCTGTGGTTCCTTTGCATACATTACCTACAAATATAATACAGAATGTCCGTAATCTACAAATTTAGCAATTGGAATACAACTTTACATGGCTAATGGCGTTTTAACAGATTCTCTCCCCCCCCCCCCCCCCCCCCCCCCCCCCCCCCCCCCCCCCCCCCCCCCCCCCCACCCCCCCCCCCCAGGGCATGCATTTGGCAAACTCAAAATACAAGAATAAAAGAATCAGCAAGAAAATGATGACCTTGCACAAATCAAGCTTTGCAAAATTAAGCAAGAATTGAGAAGACACTGTTGCAGACTTATTATATTATATGTTGTTTTTGATTTAGCTGTAGTTAGGTTATTTTAGTTACAGATTTTTTTTTGCAAGCACACCAAGTCCTAAACAAAGAAACTGACTTATTTCCAAGCTGTGGAAGATGGCGAAGAAGGGAAATGTTATCCTATTTCTTAAAGTCTTGGCCTAATACATGTTATTAAAAAATAAAGTCAGAAAAGTTTCCTTGAAAATAAATTTTTTTTTTATATCCAGAAACCATGAGTTGCTGTTAACCCTTTGGCTCGGTACTATGGATATCACAACCCTTCAGCCTTGATTCCATGATAAATACTGTAAATCTGTGAGAAATGTGGTTTTTCTGCCAAGCCCAGGACCACAAGAAGTTCGTCACCCTTTCGCCACAAAGTCAGGTTTAACCAACTACGCTAGAGAGCCGGGTCCTCGAACTAAATAATAAGCGTATGGTGACTTGCAAGTATAGAATGGATTTTTTTAAATAATGACACAGGTGCACATTATTATGCCAAAAACAAATGCATACATACCTGGATTGGATACTGCCTTCCCTCCAGGTATAAAACTGGTGCCTTATTGAAGTAGCTTGAGAAATGGTCCACGTCCATTGTTGCAGACATCACAATAATCTTCAAAAGCAAAAAACACAGTCAATAAACCCTTGATAATCTTTCTTAAAGTCCATGCCTTGTGTTGTTGGTAGTCATGTCTATCCACAACCTTCTGTCTCGTGTACTTTCAATCAACTCTGATACAGATGATCCTTCATGCCTTGATGTCAAACTATCCAACATCTTTGGTCTCAGTCTCCCTCGATCTGCCTCTCCTCCCTTCCAACTTTCCTACTGTCACAATGGACTCCAGTTTTCTCCTTTTCATCACATGAACAAAGAATGTAAACTCTTTCTTTCTGATGTGGGCAATCAGCTTTCATTATGAGTTTCCTGCAAGATATCTTCATTCATCTTTATATCTGCCCAGGGTATTCTCATCATTTATCTATAAAAGCACATCTCAGAGGCTTCCAAATATGTTTTCACTAATTTACCAACTGTCTATGATTCACTTCCGTATATCAAAATAGGACTTATACAGCTTTTTACAAATTCTCTTTCTCGTCTCAACTGACCAAGAAAGATTACATAAAATGTTCTTCATTTTGTAAAATGCTACCTCTGCTTCAGCTGTTCTACATTTAACTTCTTTAATACATCTTCCATCTGATGTTATCAGGGTAACCAAGCACTTAATTTTGTTTGAGGTTTGTCTCATTTACTTTGATGTTGCATTTTAGAGTGTGAGTTTTCTTTGTAATTACTGTTACTTCTGTCTTTCTCCCTTGATAATAGTATGTCTGTAAGTAAAAGTAATTAAGCCCTTTTCAAGCAAGCGATGCATCAGGCATATGATGCTAGACACATATTTTTATAGACTAATTGGCAATCAATGGGTGATGTCGTCAACATCACACAGAAAATAGTGCATAACTGCAACATTATTACTATCCCATTGGTCTAACTGTTTCATTCTCTCTTGTTTGAGCTGCAATATAATTTGTGTCACACAATAAGTAGTTGTCTGTCGTTGAGATAACTTGGCAGGTTGACTGAACACACACAAACAATATCTATGCCTCTGCAAAAAGAAATACTTGTTTGTGCTCAGTAATTGTTGGTATTTAGATTATGAACTGGACACAAAAGGCTCCACATCCATATGTATGGGAAATTGAAGACTGGGGACTCAGAACTTTGCCCATGTGAGCAGGCAGGGCACTCCAGAATACTTAAATGCTGTAGACATGCTCTCTACATGCTAAAGAGATCCCACGTCTGGCTAGTGGCATTCTGGTGGAAACCACGCTGTATGTATCAGAGGAGGACATGCCTCACACCACAGCCTGTGGCCTTCTCATCTACTGGGAAGGACATCAGAACAGCTATGGTCTTCTTCTTCTTCTTCTTCTTTGTGTTCACCAGCTGTAAACTCAGACCGAAAGTTTTTGTTGTCATCCACGTCTGGACTTTACACTTGTTCCAGAACCTGAGTGTCACATGCACATACATTTTACAGATCTGATTTATCTGTATGCAGACTGTTTGTTCCTTGCCTCTCAGGCGGATGAACTCTGACTTTGGAGGAAACCCCCGGTTAGTTGACTCTTATGACATGCTTGTTGGGAAGGCAGTAGATCTACTCTTGTTTTCCCCACAATGGTGGCCCGGCACCAACATTGGGAAGCTATGGATCTGTCTAAAATGATTTTATGATCATCACCACTAATCAGCTGAGTTTCTTATTGTTTTTACACAAAAATTGTAAAAACATTGTCCAGACTGTACTACCACAGCTAACATTAAAATGAAAAATCCCAATGATTATATTTTTTAGAATAAAAAATGAAAACATAAATTGTATGAATGAAAATGAAGGCTGAGCTCACCTTCAGCAGTTTCAGACCAGTTTTTAATCTACGTCTCTGAGCCGCTTTGACCACACCAAACAAGACATCAGTGTGAATTGTTCTCTCATGGGCTTCATCAAGTATAACAATTGAGTAGCGAGTGAGTGTTGGATCCAAGATGGCCTCTCGAAGCAACATTCCGTCACTCATAAACTTCAGTTTTGTTGCAGGAGATGTGACATCTTCAAATCTGACACAGTAGCCAACCTATAAATCAAGATAAACATTCAGAAAATATGCAATGGCAGGTTTTTCATGAATGAATGAAACAGTAAATTAATTATATTCTTCTTCTTCTTCACTGTTCATCCGAGTGACGTAACTGTGTTGTGGCTGTTTACAGCGTAGCTATGGTATTTGTGCGTTTTGGTCGACACATCCAACCCCATCAGGTAAGCCTTCCCGGTTAGTTTCTGGGTAATGACACAGTCGAATTTGTGTGATGTCCTTTGTGTACTTTTGTTGACAGGTGCTGCCCCCTGAAGAACCTATCCTGGGCAACCAAAAGTAGACTCGCCAGCAATAAAAGGAAGGCAGGGGCAGACCAGGAGCATTCCTCACTATCAAAGGAGGACTCTAAAAATGAAGAGCTGACAAATGGCACTTTGATCCTAGGCTCATCCAAGGAATCGACACAATCCTGCACATGACTGCTTAACTTCACATCTGTATGTAAGGCTTTCCACTCAACATAGGCTGCATCCTCTGGAGATCAACTGGGAGCAGCACAAAGATGACAAGACAAATGGGCACAATCTTCTTCAGCACAGTAAACATCATTAATGTTGCTGCATAGAGACACCTAGCATGACAGCATAGGAAAAGCCCGTATCATGCATGGTTTCTCCAACTGATCCCAGCATTCTGGCAAGTGGAGCCAATGAAAGCAGACATCTGAACCTTGTCTGTCAGTCAGTAGGACATCTTCGGTCCCAAAGCCCAAACAAGTGGTCACACAATTTGATATTCAATGTTAGCATATCTAAAATATGGCTGTTATGCCACAGGACCAAACCATGAGATATCCTCCCGCAGAGATGTAGCGCATCTAAGCTGCGAACATCCCTTCTTACCTAGGGCCAAGTCTCAACAGTTCATAGTGCTGTGGCTGCTCAGCTGATTACAACAGCCTGACACCTGACTGATGGCACTGGAGCTTAATCAGCAATTTAGTAGGCCTTTCCATCAATAGATGTTTCAAACAAGGTTTATCACATAGTAGGATATCGGCCAGCAGGCTTCACTCGTGTTCCAGATGAGTTTTTGATGGACGTTATCACCCAAGCATTGGGGGTGGGCTGAAAAGAGTCAGAAGTTTTCTGGACACTGCATCTCTGGAAGCCACCAACTTACTTTAATTTGTTCCACCTCACTATGAAAGTTTTTCATGGCCAAGAATGAAGGAGTTGGAAAAGAGACATCAAAGGACAAAAGAATTAGAATAAATTCAACAAGCAGAGCAGCGGTGTAATGGCTAGAACAACAACCAGAAAATTTCACCTGAGTTTACAGCCAGTGAATGCCTAGAAGAAAAAGAAGTCCACTTCAGGACTTTGTTGTTGCAGAACTTCAGCTCTGCATGCACATTCATTCTTTATAGATCTGGCTTATTTGTATGAAGACTGTTAGTTCCTTGCTTTTCAGTCAGATGCACTCCAACTTTGAATGAGTTTTTTGCTGCCTTGTATGAAATGCTTTGTTAGGGAAGCAGTGGGTCTACCCCTCACACACATAAAGACCTGGAACTGACTCTAGATCCTTCTCTGTCATCTATTTTGATAATGTTGGGGTATTGCTTATAGAATTACTTTTTGCTTAGCTGTTTAAGCTTTCCAATTAAGTTAGTAGAAGAAAAAAATAATGCCTTCTCATGCCTTGAGCCATGCTGTGTAAATGATTCATCCTATATTTGTGTTAACTGAGTAAAGATACTTGCAAGATGAGGAAATCATACCAAAGAAAACAAACAAATTATTAGAATACCATAGCCTAAGAAGAAAAGCTGACATCCTACATGATCTGACCATGAAGAAGAATTGGCCCATAAACAGTATCCTGCCTCAAAGGCTAAGTTTTTTTTTTTTGGGGGGGGGGGGGGGGGGGGTGGGGGAACAGGATAAACATCTCGGTGGCCTGGGGAGAAGGGTGATGGAGGGTACACTTTGCAGAAAAAAAGGCAGAGGCAGACCTCTATGAAAGTGGAACAAGACATTGAAGCTGCACTGGGTATGAAAGCACACAGGGTTGGAGAACTGGCTAGAGACTTTCAGGCATGCAGGGACAAGAGTGTCATTCTGTCTAGGACCTGCTGATTGATGATGATGATTTCTGACACTTGGTGGGTGAAATGATCAATACCACACGTCACCTTTACTTTCCATAACATTTCTTGGAACCGATTTGGCTAGATCAACCTGAGAGCCCATGTCAATTTTATAAATTTCTTTTTATGGGGATATGAACAAACGACCATCAGGTCAGCATGTTATCATGCTACCACCTGACTGCTATGGCTCACAATTAAGCAATACATTTACATTACACAATGTAATTGTTTGTTTTAGTATCCAAAAGCCTTGAGTTGTTAACCCTTAGGCTCGGTATTATGGAGATCGCAACCTTTCGGCCTTGATTCCATTGTAAATACTGTAAATCTGGGAGAAATGTGGCTTTCCTGCCTACCCCCAGGACTGAACCCGGACCACAAGGAGTTTTTCACCCGGTCTCCGCGCAATCCGGTTAAGCCAACTACACTAGAGAGCCGGGCACACAATGTAATTAAAAACAAAAAAACACAAAGACTTACAACAGTGCCAAGTGCAGTATTTCTTTCTTGAGCAACTCTACCAGCCACAGATATTGCTGCGACACGTCGAGGCTGTAAACCAGCAAATACATAGAAGTATTTTATTTTCACAAACTTATGACATCATTTAATGTTAATCACAATTATCAAATGATAAGCTATGTCACGCAACAGCAGCAAAGAATATGTTTATTATGCTTTTTATTCTGCCCTTTATCCTCTGGTGCAGTATAGGAAATCAAATATGAACTTACAGTTCTGATCATGCATTTAAAAAACTAGCTCTCTTCCTGATTGCTTTCTCCACCCTCTTTGAATTTACAGTTGTGATCATGCAGTAGTTTATATAACCATGAAACTATCTGTGTGTTGACATCAAAGCCCCACTACTAATGATTTTAAAAATAGAAGAGGAATAAAGACCAATAATAAGTGAATGCTAATTTGGACATTCAAATAACAACAAGCAATGATTTGCTAGAGCTTGGTTAAAGAGATTAGACAATATATATAAACACCTCCAACTGCCAAATATAAACTGTGTAGCTTTGTGGCTTGAAGGTTAACTAATGCAGTTTACAATCCTCAATATTCAAGATTAACTTCCGCAGTGGGCAGTTTATTTTCAAAAACGTCATCAAAGCTTATGAAAAGTCATACAACTCTCGAAGAGACTGAGGTCTCACTGTGTGATATTCCAAAAGACAGCAATGGATGTACATATCCACTGCAGGTAAACCTATATTTATGAGGGTGGTTTAAAAAGTAATGCCTCCAAGGACATAAAATGTTGAATGTTGAATGAGGAATCAACATCACAGCATTTAAGATACTCCCATAAGTGCTCCATCCTCATCTTCAGGAGCAATCAAAAAGTTACACTTCCGACTGTACCAGTAATTGATTGTACTTCCATCTCGCCTTTCCCTTGAGTGTTGAGAGTCGGGCAGATCACCAGGTAACTCCTTGCAGTACCATTTTCCTCAGATCGTAATGATCTGTGTATGCCTCCGCACTGTTCACGCACTCCCAAAGGGCCCTCACAACATCTAGCTTGTCATACATCAATTCATCACCAAGCAGTGCAGAATGGGCCAGACTATCTGCCTGCTCATTTCTCAACACACTAACATGACTCGGAGAAAATATCCAAAGGACGCTAACTTCCTGGGTTAGCTTGCCACTCTGCACGGACCATGCATGTCTCTACCTTTCTCCACATACTCTGTGAGTCTTCATGGACATAACTTTGTTAATATGCATAATTTACACACTAAATATTTTCCAAAAGATTGGGATGACTTTTAAGTGAGCTGCCATTGTTTTTCAACACAGTCCACAAAAGGTTCCACACACGCTAACATAGAACAGGTTTTCAAAACCCGCCAAGAGAAAAATCAGGTTGAAATTACCATGGTTAAAATGGTATATGCCCAGGCAAATACACAATTCTTCAACATGACAATGCTCAGCCACACATGAGTAGAAAAAAAATGCCAGCATTAGAGCATCTCAACTTTGATGACATTGTGGCGCATCCAGTACACATTCCCAATTTGGCACCTTGTGACTTTTTCCTGTTTTCAAAGCTCAAGGAAAACAGATATGTGACAAATGAAGTGCATTCTGGCTCCATGAAAAATCATCCAATTTTTTCTCGATGGGTTTCAAAAACCTGTTCCACGCTGGTGTGTGTGGAACGTGGTGATGACTGTCAAAAAATAATGGCACCTTAATTAAAGACATTCCAAGCTTTCCAAACATGTATATTTCATGTGTGCATTATATATTTTAACAAAGTTATGTCCTTGGAGGCATTACTTTTAACAGTGCCCTAGTATGTATGGATTGTCAATAAGTGTAATACTTGCTCTTTTAAAAAAATGATATAATTTAGATGCCTTTCTTAAAAGATTTCTTACATTATTTACACTGCCAGTCCCAAGCCCGGATGAGAGGAGGGTTTGGCTTGGGGCCAGCCTTCCCACCCCATAAAAGGTTAAAAAAAATTATTTGCTGCATAAACTTGCAAGAAAACGGGAAACTGGGACTGAGGAAATGAGGATGTGGAAGTGAATGATGATGAGAGAGGCCAAAGGTGTTGGACATGTTGGACTGGATTTCATCCATATCGAAGTGACTGCACAGAATGAAACAGAGTGGAGAAATAGGCTGCAAGCACTATGTGACATATAATGGCACAATAGGACAATAAGGAATTACTGACACTGCCTCATATTATGTATTATCAGATAATACATTCACCATACCTAGGTTGTTTTTTTTAAACTATGAAAACCTAAATGTAATGCTTTCTTTACCCCAAACTGGACATCAAGGTATACACGGGCAGTGCATGTAGTATCATTATGATTGCCAAATTATAATTTATTATGAGGCAGAACAGGATATCTAGGACAATAATGAATTATTTACACTGCCTTATATTATGTATTATCAGATAATACATTCACCAGACCTATGTTTTTTGGTTGTTTTTTTTTACAATGAAAACAATTTAATGCTTTTTTATTTTTAACCCTAAACTGGACATCAAGGTATATGGGGGTAAGGCATGTAGTATCATTATGGTTGCCAGATTATAATTTATTATGAGGCAGAACAGGATATATAGGATTGCCATCTTAGCTATAGTGGTCAAATCTTCAGGTAGCAGGTGAGAGAGAGAGAGAGATAGAGAGAGAGAGAGACAGAGAGAGAGAGAGAGAGAGAGAGAGAGAGAGAGAGAGAGAGGGGGGGGGGGGGGGAACCAGTCAACTGCATCAGTTATATTTCATTCAACATTTTGTTAAACTCAACAGAACTTGCATCCTAAGCCATGTGCTTCATCAAATAAACTACCACTATAACTACCACAATTTAGGAAAATGACTATATGTAATGAGTAACACAAAGAATGTTATTTCACTTGTGCATACCTGTGTAATGGCTATAACATCTCCATGATTCAAACCCGCCTCTAGTAAGTACTGCAAAGATTAAAAAAATAAAACATGAAAGTCAAACTTTACAAGTGAACATGTCAACATTGTTCATTTCATAATAGTAAAACATTATTACATTATATTACAGCATCATGTATTGGAAACTGAAAAACTTTGGCAATATCTTCTTCCTCACACTCACCGAATGTAAACTCTGGGGTTCCACTTCCAGACTTGTCTTCTTCCACAAGCTGACTGTTGTGTGCACATACATTTCACAAATCTGGCTTATGTGTATGCAGAATGTTGGTTCCTTGCCTCTCAGGCAGGTGTACTCTGACTTCAAAGGATGCCCCCTAATAAGTAAACTTATTGTTGGGTAAGTAGTGGTTCTACTTTTGTTTTCCCCCACAAAGGGGCCCCAGAACCCACATGGGAACTTTGTAAAATTCAACGTCACAGAGACTTTAAAAGGACAGTAATGGAATGCATGGTTCTGAAAGCAGAGGCAGAGACTGACTGGCATGAAGGTAATTAAAAACATTGAAATGAAAATGCACGAGACAGGTACTGGCAAAAGACTAACCATTATGAGAATGGTGATCTAAAGAAAACATGTTAGAGTTACATATGCAGGAGGGGGCTGCATGGTCTTGAGGCATGGCACCCGCCTCGAGTGCTGGAGGTCCCGGGTTCAGGCCCGGTGAAGGCTGAGATTTCTTTTTTTCCACGTGGACTTCCAGTAATTTCCCCTGGTCTCTGGATAGTAAGATTGGATTGCTGCGCATGTAAAAAATCTCTTGGCAGTTGGAAATCGAAAAGAGTAGCCTAACAATGCTGCTGCCCGGGCAAAATTTAGAGTTAATAATAAAAATCTACCCAAAGTATTTTAGGATCCTCGCGCGTGCTATGGACTTTGTGCACTGAGATGAGATTCTTTGGACTCAGACTTCAGTTAGAAGTAGAACGGAGCATTTATGGGTTACTACCCTTGTGTCATGATGTTGATCCGTTGTTTAAACCTAAACCATGCTACATGGTAATGATTATAGTACCAGGCTGCTGTGTGGGGTTAGACTGCCAGTCCTGCACTAACTATCCTTAGACACCTTGAACATGCTCTGTGGGTTATGATTTTTCTATTCTTTGCTTCTTTTATGAGAGTCAATAATAAATGGAAGGCAAGATGTTTTGAAGATGTTTGGAATGAAGATGTTTTCTCTCTACACCCAAGAGGCAGAAAGAATTAAAGAAGACATGTTATACCTGAGGTATCTGTGTTGTTTTACCACTTCCAGTTTCTCCTATAACAATGGCAGAAGGCAGTCTTCGAATTTCGGTGATAATTTTCTGCCTCGCTGGGTAAATTGGTAGTGCCCTCCGAGTAATTTTTAACTCCTCAAAGTTAGCTGCTCTTGACGAACCAGGAGAGCTATAACCTGTGAACAATAGATTCAAACAAATAAAGCATATACATTAAGATATTAAAATAGCAATTCTAGTAGTTTGATAATGTACGCAACAAGTGCTGCCAAATCCGACATATATGGCCATTTAATATAAAAATCCTACCTGGAAAAAAGTATTACAAACTGACAGGACTACATTCTTAAAAAAAATTTCATAATATAGTTTGTACAATGAATACCCCCCCCCCCCCCCCCCCCCCCCCCCCCCCCCCCCCCCCCCCCACGGTCAATAATGATTAGCCTATAAAACTGTTGTGGCTAGAACTAAATGTCCATAGCATGGAAACTTTTCCTTCACTTTTACTTACTCTGGAAAACCAATTTTTTTTTCATTAACTGAAATGTCCTAAGGTAAGAAGTTGTATACTGGTAAATAACTGCTAATGAGCTGTCACTGCTGTTTCAGGCTGGTAAATAACTGCTAATGAGCTGTCACTGCTGTTTCAGGCTGGTAAATAACTGCTAATGAGCTGTCACTGCTGTTTCAGGCTGGTAAATAACTGCTAATGAGCTGTCACTGCTGTTTCAGGCTAGTAAATAACTGCTAATGAGATGTCACTGCTGTTTCAGGCTGGTAAATAACTGCTAATGAGCTGTCACTGCTGTTTCAGGCTAGTAAATAACTGCTAATGAGCTGTCACTGCTGTTTCAGGCTAGTAAATAACTGCTAATGAGCTGTCATTGCTGTTTCAGGCAATATCTTTCTGATGTACACAGCAGTGACCTCAAATCAGTACTGATGCACTTCTATTCTCACTGTCACCAATGTGATTTCAAAATGAAGGTTATGGCCATCTTGTCAAGCCACGCAAACGACAGTTCTTAAGTCTTTTGGCCATTGAGTTAATTGTATGTGTCGAGTCGTCCTTACTAAAACAAATGGTTGATACATTCTGTTTCTGGAGACAGTTTTTATCGAGTTTGTTCTATAGACAGTTGCAGTCCTCTGCTGACGAAATTCTGTCTTCCCGATAGTTGGCTGCCCCGATCAAAACACTGCGAAGGCAGCGTGATCGAGGCTGCCAAAACTATCGGTCATTACCCTGCCCTAACATAGCACAACCACAATACATGCTGCTCCCACGAACACATAGTATCCTGTACTGGAAAATGCATACAAAAAGCAGTCCATATTAAGGGAACAGAACAATCCGAAAAAATGCACCAGCTGGAAAAAACACAGCTGCTTTTTTGAAAAAAGAAGTTCAAGTCTCTTAGAAACTCTTTTATTTATCTAATGGGGCCAAACTTGCATGAGGGACATAATGTCCGACACAGCTTAATCTAATATTTTTTTTTAGTTATGGCCATGCCTTTCTTTTTCTGGTTAGTATTCACTTCCTATATTCTTACATGCCTCAGAGCTTCAACTGACCAGACAGAAACATATGGGTTTCTTGTGGAGAGACACTTAAGTGGTTGTGTGTATTCTTGTTTGTAAACGTAACACTGTCTACTCATGGCATGTGCTGATGAGGGTCTTCTAGCTGCAATGCTCACATTTGTGACTGTGATAATGTTGAGCTGACTGGTGCTATTTATCCTCTGGTTTGACATCTATTTCTGATATGTCATTATACATTAAAAATGTAAAGGGAGTCCCACATCAGATACAGCTATTGGGATATGTAGTATCAGAACACATAATTTTAGCCATAACAAATGAGGTATTTTTTACCAATTCCTTCTCCCTCACCTTTTCTTTTCTCTGGCAATTCCATTTCTATGAGGCTGGGTCAACCCCAGAGACACTGGAAAATATCCTTTCCCGATTATACAATGAACACACTGCCAGTACCACATTTCTAATACTAATGTCTAATTAGTGTTGTTGAATGGACAAAGTACAAAGGGTGTTCAGAAAGTAATGCACCACATTGTTTTTCTCAGGTAATAATAAAGACCAAAAAAATTATTAACACAGAGAAGAAACAGCTACCTGCTTATGGATACAGGCGAGAGAGGAAGATCGACAAAACTGCGCAACTCTTCCTCACTTTAATCCAATTCATCGCGCTAGTCACTTTTCATAAAACTGACAAACAGGCACTTTGTCTACACACACTGTGCCCTGTCCTCATTGTCCTAGACTCTTCCGGAGACTCACAAACATTTAACTGTAGTTTCATGATGGATGAAAGAAAGAGTGGTCCTCATCAATGTGATGGACGAACGAATGAACGAGCCTGCTCAAGACAAAATCTGGTCTTTGTTTGGAGCTGGCATAAAGCTGTACAAGTTGATGGGGATTATTTACACGACAGGTCCATGTATATTCTGTATAAATTCCGTGCATCGTGAATAAACAGCCCGTGAAAAAAAACAATGTGGTGTATTACTTTCTGAACCGCCCCACATATATGAAAAAATAATGCACAAAAACCATACTAATGAACTATAACCATTCATTTAACTGCAAGGAACAGAAAGACTTGTACAATATGACAGAATCACTTATTCTGAGCTCATTCAGAAACATTAATTCCTATGCTTTGAGACATGCATCAAGGTAACTACTGGATGACCAGAAACAAAATGGAAAAGAGATCTGATACACTGGTAATCTTAGTTTCAGCTTCATAGCAAACGGGTCACCCCATAGTCGCTCTGCACATTAGAAATGCAGTTCATCATGGATGGCAGCACTAGTGACTAGCAGAAGTCACTAACAGATCAGCAGTTGCACACCGATCAATTTTAATCACATATTGCACCACCAATATTGCGACAACCGGCATCACGCCGTTTTCTGAATCTACAGTTCACAGTTAAAAAACATTCCAAATGAAATCTGCAGCTCACAGTGTCACGCCATGCACTCAACTCAGAAGCTGGGCATCTGATACACTATACAAGGTAAGGAATGATAAGAAAAGTGAGAATCAAGGCTCAGCAGGATGCTAAAAGAAAGAAATGAAAATAAGAAGGATCTTTAAAGTTATTTGTCACAGACAACAGGAGTACTTACTGTTTGTGATACCAGGTTTATGTGGGCTATGATCATACTTGGGTCGCTTGTTAGGAGGCCCTGTGTCATCCATATTATTCATTCTGCATATGTAATATGATTTGTACTGAAATAAACAAATACACGAGTTATGCACCAGCAAAACACTTTCTTGCTCAATCAGTAGTCTGTCTACTCTTATGCAAGAGTAACAAGTTACAGAAACATCCTTTACTACAACTGATCATATTAAGGTCTCGTCCCGTTAATACTATTTAACACTCTGTCTCCATCAGTGCGATCAGTAACTGTTATCCAATATGTTGTATGTGGTCAAAAAAATGGCTTCGAAGCACCTAAAGATAAGTAATACTCTGCAAGTGAATTTCAAAATGCCAAGTCTTTTAATCCAGACTTATTTTATGCGACTTGCAAACTCACATCTATATCATGTTTATTAACTGTCTGAACTGGTTTATTCTTTGGTCTATTGTATGAAAACAATATAACATATTTTATAAATATATGCCAGTTAAAGACATTAGGAGTATGAGAGATCGACATATGGCACACAAATTAGAAATTGTTCTCCATTACTATCCACTAAGAAATAAAGTGCAGTATTAAATTTTTAAAATAAAAAAAAAGATCACTATAACAATTTATTCTCTGCCTATAACTGCGCCTGGCTCCACTGACAACAGTTTTTTTTAGTTAACTATAGACCAACGTCTCTACTATCCTCCTTATCAAAACCATTGAAGAGGTACACACATAAAGCAACATTCCAACATCTAAATAACAACAAGTCTGGAGATGTGGACACATGGAAAATGTCATATTTGAGGAAAACAAAATCATAAACAGAGGTTCTAGACAGATGAAATAAACTGAGAACTGCTAAAAGAAAAAGAGACAAGTTAAATATTCTGACCACATTGAAAGACATAACACGCTTTTATAAAACACATACTGGAGGGAAAGTCGATGGCAACAGAGCAAGAAGTAAGCAATGATCGACACAAGATGGAGGACATCAATAGATGGATGAGCAGCAGTCTGAGACAGTGTACTGTACAACCAAGATTAGAAGTGACAAAGTAACAAGTGTTCGAGATTCATTGAATGAAGCTAACATTCAACAATTCATTAGGTGACACTTTCTGATGGGTACTGGTAATTTCTATATTTAAAAAAAAAATTTAGGCACTACTTAAATTAAAATTGTAAAACATTTTAGAAAACTAACTCACACTGTTAGGGTGACCATAATCCCATTTTCATCACATTCCCATTTTTAGGCGTGGCCTAGCTGTCCTATTGGTACTCCAGATAAATGCCAACTGTCCAATTTTATTTTATTTTTGGGTCCTATTCACGTTTCCCAGCCCATCTACACACTGGTTGACCTTTCATTCATGCTTGAACGGACTAGTCTACGTCAGAGGGTGTCATATTGTCCAATTACATCAGCGCTGATGTAGCATATTCTATACCAAACAACACAGCTTTTAACGACCCCAGAACATCTAGAACTGGTCCTAACCCAAACTTCTACCCACAGCCTCAGCCTAGGTCCCATGAGAGAGTCTTTTTAAAGAAAACGGTAAACGTGACACCCCTATGATGTAGACCAGCTTGAGAAAGTGTGTAGATGAGCAGGGAAATGTGAATATTACCTTTTTTTTTAATCTCGAGAATTTAACATTTACTTTAAATTAAATTGTTACATCTGCAGACTTCATACGTTTAGTTTTAACACATAAAATGTGCTGAGAATTTTCGTTGCATTCCCCCCCCCCCCCCCCCCCCCCCCCCCCCCCCCCCCCCCCCCCATTTCCACTATGCAGTTAAAGACTAAGAATATGTTTCGTTTATTTCTTGGTGAAAATGGTTCGGGTTTTAATACCAGTTTGGAACGAGTAATTTACTCGTTCACCTCAGTAACCAAAAAAAAGGAGATGAGGTGGGGTTAAACTGAATTGTTTGTGATGTGCCGCTTTTGCTAAAAAAAAAAAATTAGTTGGAAGTCCCGTTTTTCAGCTCACATTATTATTATTATGGTCACCCTACACACTGTTGATCATATCAGTTGACTACAGTACTGATTAGTACTGATTCATAGTGACTTAAAACAAAATGGTCTGTGTTCTAGTTTTACAATAAAATGCATTACATACATAACAATGTTATTATAACATGTAAATTGTAAACATGTATATAACTATAATCAGCAAAATCATTCTTTTAAATCACGTTTAGTTGTGTAGCCTCTAGATAATTTCTTTTTAGTCTCAGTCTGATGACACACATTTTATTACATTTTAATTTTAATAGTCACACTCACAAAATAATGCCAAACCATTAATCACTAATTTCATTTTTCACAACCAAGTAATTTTAAGTAAAATTAATTTAATTTTTAACATTTGCTATTCTATCTAACTCACTGTCTAGAACTCTAAGAAACCGATAATAAACAGTACATGGCTAACACTATTTATAAACTTGAAACTGTATTTAAAAGCCAGAAGCAGCTTCAGTTATACCTATAAGAAAATTAATAAATGGTTCACGAGACAAGACTCCTTCTTGAAGACTAGTGTTAGTCTACCAGCCGACATGTGCATTTGTTTTGGTGGCGGACGGTGTTGATACAAAATGTGTGCGCAAAACATTTTTCAATCTTAAACGTGTATATGTATTGGCGATGAGAGTTGAGTCAAGAATTGACAGCACAGCACTTGGGGCATTCCCATGCATGCTCCGTCCTCCTCTTCAGCAGCCAGCTCAGAGTTCCAATACTGATGGTACCGGTTACAATCTGGGTAAAAGTCCGTCTTGCCTTTCCTCTAAGTGTAGTGAGATGGCCAAACCCTCTGGTTACACCCAGGTGCCTCATTCTCTCCAGGCCATAATAATCTTCTTTCTCTACTGATTTTGTTGCTTGTTCCCAGAGGGCCTTGACCACATCTGCCTTGTCATGTATCAATTCACCACCCAGTGGTGTGGATCTAGCCAATCTGTCTGCCTGTTCATTACCCACCACGCCGGTATTGCCTGGAGAAAGGATCCAAAGTATGCTCACCACCCGTGACCTTTCCAGTGAAGCTAGCCACTCTGCTCGAAGCATCCCTGTCTTCACCTTTTTCAGTATGCTTTCAGAGTCTGTTACAACTACGACACATGTAAGCATCTCGTTATCTAGCCACCGGAGAGCTGCAGTTACCGCCTGCACCTCCATTCTCATGTAAGATGTGTTGTCATATGCTAGGCTGCCTTGCGCTAAAGATTTTCCATTGGCTTTCGCTGCGAACTCCCCGGCACTTCTCTTTCCTCTCAATACTGAACAATCTGTATAGATTATCAGATCACCTGGGTGTGAATTATCGTGAATCAATTGTTGGACTTCAACCTCCGTAGCACCCGTTGGCCACTCTGTAAACACGGCCCAATGTTATCATAACCCTACACAAGTCAGACTTTCCCGCTGGTACTCTGACCCACTACTCTCTTAGCCCAATGTTCTTCAGCATGTATACTTGTCTTATTGTGTTTTCTGCTTGAGCCATCCACGATTTTCCAGTTTTCAGCCCCTGACCCTTGCCTGCAACCAAGACTTTATACAGAGGGTGTTCCCTCTCTGCAGCTTCTCTGAAGTATGACTTAGCCTGCAGCACCTTTAGCCTATCTGCAATAGTCAGCAATGCACACAATCGGGGTGTCTCTTGTACAACCCAGGATCAGCCGCATAGCTTCATTCTGTATGCGCTCCAGTTTCTCTAGCTGACTCTTCGAGATAGTGAGTAACCCCAGTCCCTTATCAATCACTGAGATGATTAAGTGCTGGTAAAGTGTGAACAGCATTCTCTGTTCTATGTCCATCGCCGCCATAATCTTAAGTGCGTTTAGACCTTTTTGAGCTATTGTCACAACCTCTTCTATGTGATCCCTGAAAGACAAACTTCTGTCAAATGTGATTCCCAGGTACCGCAGTCTGCTTTCTTTTTTTGATGTTACTGCCATTTATTTTGAGTCTGGGAACATCGGCTCTAACAATCCTGTTGTCCAAAGAACATCACAAGACGGTTGCGTTGGCGAAGAGAAAGAATAAAAAGAGGTGAAAGAGGGATGATGGACTGTTGACATCTTGATATTGTGAGACATTAGTACAATTAGAATCCGAAATTAACAGCAGATTGTATCAGGTCATTATCACATTAGTCAGAGAATGTACCACGTGGTGTAACGGTATGGCAGAATTAGAGGTATAACAAGTTACATATAAACATAAAGATGTAAGGATCGACTTAGGTGCATTGGGTTTTATCCCACATGGCTTAGTCTCTCTCTTTCTCTCTCTCTCTCTCTCTCTCTCTCTCTCTCTCTCTCTCTCTCTCTCTCTCTCTCTCTCTCTCCGCACAGAACAGCTAGCTTCCTCTTGAAAGCGTCGCAGAGAGCACGACCTTCGTAGCTCTAGCTACGACCCCCAAGGATCTATGTACATATTGCACTCGTGATCTAAACGACGTCACGGTGAAAGGAACCAAGACCTTCAGAGCGCGAGGCAAACGGCTTGACCACTATGCCACGGAGATCCCTAAACTGATAGATAAAAACCCTAGGCTAGATAAATGCCACGTTTATACTGATGGTTCTTTACAAAGAAGAAGAAGAAGAAGAAGAAGAAGAAGAAGAAGAAGAAGAAGAAGAAGAAGAAGAAGAAGAAGAAGAAGAAGAAGAAGAAGAAGAAGAAGAAGAAGAAGAAGAAGAAGCAGAAGAAGAAGAAGAAGAAGAAGAAGAAGAAGAAGAAGAAGAAGAAGAAGAAGAAGAAGAAGAAGAAGAAGAAGAAGAAGAAGAAGAAGAAGAAATGTATGTTTAGAACATAGTCAGAGCTGGTGTTTTTTCCAGATGATGATCTCAGACACGATCAAGATGAACAATAACAAATTATAAAGGAGAGGGTGTCAATTACATAAACACCGTATGTGATGGTAACGAACTTCTAACAGATAAGATTTCCATTTCCTAGCAGAACCTGACTGAGACGTGATACGTTCTGCTTTACGTGCCATTGCAAGTTGTATTTTAACGGTTCTAGCAATTGTTCTAGATAGTTACAGTTTTTGTGTGCAGCTGAACATTTCCTACCAGGACACAATGCTTTCAAGTATAGACGCGAACACGATTTTCAATGCTGTGCTAATTTTTTCTTGGGTAACATTTTTATGGGAGACTTACCTTGCGTTCAGACAGGTTTGTAAAAAAAAACTAGTACTTTAGTCTTTAGTCAAATTTTCAAAAATCTCTACACCAATAAAACCAGCACAGTTAGATAGCTGTAAACAATCTCTTTCCAACGGTACCTCATTTAGGCTTGTATGTCATTTCTGAGCTGAGATATGTAGGTTTTTGTGGAGATGAGATGTAGAATGCAGCTGCTAAAACTTGCGTCTTAGAAGCAAGGTTTTCTCTGCGCAACCAAACTGCGCACTTATCGTTTTGTTTAGCTTTGTTTACACTGGACTGTCATTGGACAAGATGGCAGACAATGAGATACAGCCACCTTCTGAGCCAGCGATTGCCTGAAAAATGTCACTGTACATCTACCAAGCCACTGTTCAGAAAGAAATTTTATACACAATCACAAATGTAAAATTGGACAGAGAATTCAATTATAACTAGCATTACCAGGACCAGTAACAGTTAAAGCCTAAAGCCAACCCGGAATACTTATCACTATTTTCAATCAAACTGATGTAACAGAAAAACAGAGGACTTCCGGCTGTCGTAGACAAGACATTCTCTGTTAATCGGGTTCCTTCCCGCCGTTTTCAGCTTTTTATAGTGGGTGAAAATCACACCAATCGCAAAATTTCATGAGAGATTAGGTTAGGACCCATCCCGAAACCCCAGCCGACATTTGCGAAGCAAGTTTCCAACGGTTTCCAGGGTAACGGAAATTGCCAAAAGACCGCAAATTGCCGAACACCGTAGTCGCTAGTATATAAGTAAAGAAAATAAAACACTTAAAGGTTAAAATTATATATATATGATTTAAAAAATCAAAACGTTGGTCAGTTGGTAGTAAATAACTGTTAATAATAATAGTAATAATTTAGACCGTCATCTTTAATTTTCGATTCATTTAACACAATGAGTGACAATGATGTTTGAATCTTGACAAGTCTGTCAAGTCAGTAATCATTCATGAGTAAGGTACTGACATCACAGCTCTCTTGATTCCCTTACTTAAGCGCCTCATGCCCATCTTGTCTTCAGCACTTGCAGTCATATCTCTGAGTGTTGAGTATCCCCTGATCGCCTCCACCCCCAGTTGCATCATTCAAGAATTTTAGTAAAATGTGTACCACATCTAAGTCCCATTATAGTTTGATTGTGGAGGGAAGGAAAAAAAAAGAAATGTCTCCACTTTTTAGATACTGTTCGAGGCCATGATCAATCCCAATCGAAGTCAGACAATGCTCTAAATTTTATGACTGAGAAAGAAGTCATTTTTGACAGATAGGCATCACCCTAATGGTATGACAGGTTAGTCCTTTAACTAGTTCACGACATAAGAATGTATCACACACTGAACAGAGACCACCAGATATTTCTTCATCGCCTTATGGAAAAGCTTTGCTTCAGAGACAGTGATGTTTATTTTTAATGTATCTTTAATCTGTTCACCCTTTAAGAAGCTTACAAATTATATATTTTCACATTTTTCATCCAAGAAATTCTCTTAAACTTTTAATAAACTAGAAGAATAGAAGATGCGGCCGAAGAAATTTTGAGTCTTGAGCAGGTTTTAGAAATATCCATAGAATGGAACTCCTGGCCACTGAGCAAACATGCAGGTGTAAAAGTCCTCTGCTTTTTTGATTTATGTTACAGCATTAAAAAAAAAAATTATCTGCAGTCACTCAATGTCTAAATCAAGGAAACAGTTTTTTTTTTATACCTCAAGGAAAGTAATCACTAGATACAAACGAAGCAGTATAATTAATTTTCTTCCCTTTAACCATCAAAACAGGGTTTCAATCACTTTTCAGCAAAGAGAAATGTGACACAGTTGGTAGATAAAAATTGATGGTAAATATAATCATTAGACACTTTTTAAATCATCAAAGAAAAGTTATGGTTGTCATTAGTAACTTTTTCAAATTTTCAAAATCTTGGTTTTTCTGTTACTGATTTCAGCGAAGTGTAGCTAAACGAAGCTCCAGAGTTCCCTCAGAACTCAATGGTGTGATGGAGCAGGACATATTTGACAAAGCAAGAAGCTACCACTTGGATAAAAGTACATTTGGCCTCTGGCATAGTTTGTACAGTCAGATAGAGTCAACGGTATGCTTTGTTCTTCTATTCATTTGTGTTTGTTCCCTTAAGTCATTCACTGCCAGTCAGCTCACCATATGTTTATTGGTATATACATATTTTTTTTTAACACGATATTCTTTTACATGATGTGCTTCTCCTCTTGACTTTAACTTAAGCAAGATAGGGTACCAGTGTAGTCCCTTTATCGGAACAGTATGAAACAAAACATGGGAGCAGGTGGTAGACTGAGCGTGAGAGGATCCATAATATAGTTGTTGGTCAACATCTCAAGTTCCCTGACACGAGGATAACAATCACACTAAAGTGAGAATGGCTGTAGTCACCCCACCTGTATGGTCACTGCCGAAAGAGAAAGAAATGATGAACCTTCTTCTTCAAAAATTCCAAGATAAATCATGATTTGACATACATCTGAAACGTAAACCAGTGTTTTCCAAATTTGTCTTAGTCACGGCGCCTTTTGAAAAAAAAATTCCGCGGCGGCCCTCATCTAAGCAAAAGTATGACTATTCATATGTAAGAGATCAAAACAAATAAAACTCGCGTATCCTCGAATATTTTGCGACGCCCCTGTGAAGAGGTCGCGGCTCCCCGGGGCACGGGGGCACACAGTTTGGGAATCACTGATGTAGACAATAAGCAAACAAGCTAAAAAACAGATAAGGGCTCAAGAAAATGTGGTTTCTGAGAAAATGTACAGATTATCAGAGCTTACAGAAAAGCAGATATGGCAGGCTTCCCAAAAGGCAGATGAAAACTACAAACTCTTAGAGCAATTAAATATAGCAATACAATGTTTTTTTTTTCAATATGTTATTAGAAGGATTACATTGAAAAATGTGGTAACAGATAGCAAACTTGTTTTTAAGAGCAAAGGGGAGGTAGAAAGATTATTACCAGAATGGCCTGGGTAAGACAAGAATGCTGACTTGAACTGTGATTCTGGTGATCGTGTGAGATGCAACACTATAACCGCCCATACTTAACGATATGTGGTGATCGTGTGAGATGGAACACTATAACTGCCCAGACTTAATGATATGAATAGAGATACATTTTATCCTTTTATGGAAGTAACCACAAACCCTCTTAAATCTGTTCCTAAAAACTGTGTATGCTTGTATTTTTGTAAGCTTTTGTTAAGTTCAGTTTGTCTAGTACAATTTTTCCCCTCTAGAATGAAAGGTAATTTCTGGGAATCATTTAACATATGTTAATGACACAATCCACCATTTATATATGGGACTAATAAAACATTAAATGTTTGCAGCTTATATTGTGGTTTGGTGGCTTTCCACTTCTGTGGAATTTATCTTCAACTGTGCAGCAGAAACTGAACTTGCCAGAGGGAGAGGTAACTATATCTGTTAGAAGACAAAACTCTCATTAATGTTAATATGCATTTAACATGGCATGATGCTGCTGGCCACATCACTCATCAAGTGCTGATTGGTCTGTAAAAATGTTGAGTCTAGCATCATATGCCCAGTTCACCACTGTTGTAAAAAGAGTCCTTTACTTTACTTACATTTAGCTTGAGAGCTACTCTAGCTTAGTGGTTAGATGCTCACCTAATGAACCAGATGGTCCTGAGTTCAAATCCTCATTGAGGCTATGGTTTTTAAAATTTACCTTGGCTCCCAGGTTACCCCAGCCTAAAATGGGTACCGCCTTGTATCCTGGGAAGTAAAGGCGGTCAGCGTCATCATCCATTGAGCTCTTATTTATCCATAAAACTATGAGTGTAGTCTAACATGTTTGTTATGGTATTCAGCTAGGCTGCGATGCATATGTCTTTCCGCCCAACACATCCGATCTCAGCAAATCCTTCATTTATCTCATTTATGGCTAGACCTATATTTTATAGATCAGTCGGCACTCGGTAGGCAATGAGGTTAACATTACATGGCCACCTTTACTTCCCAGGACAATATCTGGTATCTGTTTAACTCCGGGTTGACCTGGGAGCCAGCATCATTTATGAAAAAGGGCCTGTACTCTCATGACCTTCAGATCTGCAGGCAGTCATATAGGGGCTACACCACAGCGGTAGCAGACAATGTCCTTGGGAAGCAAAGGTGGCCAGCATAATATTGGCCACATCCATCAAGTACAAATATGAGTCAAGCATCATATGCCTGAAGCACTACAGAAAAAGATCCTTTACTTTTCTTTGCCTAACATTTGATTTCCCTTGGTCTGCCTGAAAGGCTTCAGCGAGTTTCTTTTTGTCTGGTTCCTATCTCTTGACCCGTCTGACATAAGAGACCTTACAAGTAGTTTAGCCGGGACACTTACCAGGCAACCACATCAAGCATGAATATGGAGATAGCCGCTTCTTCTAGAGCACTAACAAGGGCATTAGAGCAAACAGCCATACAGGCAGTGTTTGTATCAGACCATGAAAATGCACTCTGAATGGGCAGAAAGCATTCAACAATCGCACTTAACCTCCCTCACCTGGATCAACACACCTGGTCATGCAGGCGTAAAGGGTAATGAGGGATTGGAGGATTAACTGGGAAGCAGTGCTCGAACACATGTGAGAAGAAGCATGGACAGAACAGATATCATCAACGCTGTGCAGGGGAGGGAAGGGGGGTTGGTGTAAGGTTCTGCTTTTTTGCTCTTCTGGCTGCCTCCACCATGGACACATTGTGCTGTTGTAGGGTTTCTCTGATGTTATTTTTCCATCTTTTTCTACCTTGTGCTCTAGTCCTTATTGTCTTGTGGTGTATGCCTTGTATGGCATATCAGCAGTTTTTAATGCTTTAATATTTGTTTACATCTGCTAAATTGTTTGGAGTATACAGTACAGAGATATTTTCATCATTGACTTAGGTCTTCTAAGTTGACCTGGTCTAAAATTGGTACCAGGAAGTATCCCGGCTGTAAAAGTGACTGGTGTGATTCAGACCATACCAACAATCGACTGCTACTTGGTCCATAAAAAGTGTGGGTCTAGCACCACATGCCTGACATGCCTTTCACTTTTTTTTTAACATTACAGTGATAGTGCATTTTAATTTCAGAATATCTTTCCGTGCAGCTGAGATGTGGTTCTTGAGAAGAATGTTGCGAATACCTTGGACTGCCAGAATAACTAACAATCATTCATGTATATATCAGTTCTCGTTATGCCTAGTGGCACATGAGGCTTCAGAGAGGACTTTCCATGCTTTCCTGTCCTGTGCAATCTTCAATGCAGTTTTCCATGTCAAAGATGCCACACTCAGGTCACTTTCCATCGTTCGTCTCGATGTTGTTTTTGGGCGCCCCTGTCTTCTCTTTCCCTCTGGTGTCCATGTAAGAGCTGTTTTGGCAGGTATATCAGAAGTCATTCTCATAACAGCGCTAAGCCATTTCCATCTTCTCTTGGTAATCATACTGTCTAAAGTTTCTTGGTTTGTGGTTTGAAGTAGTTTAGTGTTTGAGATTGTATCTGGCCAGAAAATTTTGATAATTCTACGTAGACATGTGTGGTGGAAGGTGGACAGCTTGTGTGCATCCTTTTTGGTCATTCTCCAGCATTCCGCTCCATAGAGAAGAACTGGCAAAATGATGCTCTTGTAGAGTCGGAGTTTCGTTCCTCTGCAGTAATTGTTGGATTTCCAGATTTGCCTCATCCTTCCAAAAGCAGCTCTAGCTTTGTTCAGACGTAACTGTATGTCTTCCTTTGTCCCTCCCAGTAGGGACACCACACTGCCAAGATACGTGAAATGTTCTACATTTTCAAGTGATTGGTTACTTATGGTCACTGGTTGTTGGTTTGGACTGTTTGTCATGATCTTAGTTTTCTTTGTATTTATTCTCAGTCCCACCATATCTGCTGTGCAGTTTAGTCTGTTACTTTTCTCTTGTATATGTTCATATTTATGTGATATGAGTGCTATATCATCTGCAAAATCAAGGTCCTCAAGCATGGTGAATGGAGTCCATCGTATGCCTCTTAATGTCCTGTCTACTGTGTTCTTTAGTATCCAATCAATCACAAGGTTGAAGAGGAGAGATGACATAACAAATCCCTGTCTTACACCCGTCTTTACTGGGAAAGATGTATTGTAATTTTTTATACTGCAGGAAAAGTCTTTATAGAGGAGAGCAATTATGTTGACTATTTTTTCTGGAATTCCATAATGTCGTAAAATTTTCCACAGACCGTCTCTATGGACGCTGTCAAAAGCTTTCTCAAAGTCCACACAATTAATATATATACTTCTCTGCCATTCGTTGCATTGTTCTAAAATGTTCCGTATGGCAAAGATGTGCTCAGTTGTTCCTCTGCCCTTTCTGAATCCTGCTTGTTCCACTCGTAGGCATTTATCTACTCCTTTTTCAAGCCGCATTATGATGATTTTACATTTGCTTGGTACTGAGAGGAGAGTAATTCCCCTCCAATTATTGCAGTCTGTTAAGTCTCCTTTTTTGGGATTTTGACTATTGTTCCTTCAGTCCAGTCATCAGGCAAAACTTCTTTTTCCCAAATATCCTTGAACAATGGTTCTAGAATGCTAGCAGTTGTGTTGGGATCTACTTTGAGAAGTTCTGCTGACAATTCGTCTTTGCCTGGTGCTTTGTTGTTCTTTAAAGTGTGGATAGCTTTTAGGATTTCTAATAATCAATAACTAACAATGATTGCCTGGAAATGGCTAATGAAAGTAGAACATTATATACAACAATGAGAAGGAGAAAGTTCTTTGATCAAATATGAGAAAAGGAACACTGGTAAATATTGTGATGACTGGAAAGATCCCTGGTAGAAGAAACAGAGGCAGACCAAGAGAATTGATGGTGGATGGCATTAGACAGTGGCATGGAGGAATATCATCAGTGGATTTGATCCAGAACGCCAAAGACAAAGATCTGTCAAGCTGCATTAGTGTCTACGCCAGCAGGCAAGGCACTAGATGATGATGTGGGTCCTGGGCCCTAATTTAAAAGAGGATTAATTAGGGATTTTTCTTCCTAAATGGAGGTGCATCTGCCTGCATGTCAAGGGACCAACAGTCTGCATAAAGTAAGCCAGATCTGTAAAACAAATGTGCGTGCAGGATTCAGGTTCTGGAACAAGACTGAAGTCCAGAAGTGGATGAACAACCAGAAACTTCTGCTGAAGTTTACAGCCGGTGAATGCTAAGAGAAAGAAGAATGTCAGAATCTGACAATTCTTCATTTCGTCCGTCCGAATGACTTACTTGCTTTGTGCCTGTTTACAGCAAAGCTGCAATATTTATGCCTTTCAACCAACACATCCAATTTCAGTGAGCATTAGTTGACCGGGCTAACTTCCCAGACCTGACAATTCTGTTTGCGCTGTTGAAACTTAATCTTGATTTGTAATTTATGTTCACAAGTAATCTCATGTTCTGTTTGATCTACAGATAATACAATCACTTGTGTTCTTGGTGATTGGGATGATATTTTCTTGCATTATGTCATTGCCTTGGTCCCTTTACAGTACTTTTGTCATTGAAGAAAAACATGGATTTAACAAACAGGTAGGGTGTAGGGAGAAAATGGTCTTATATGTCATGAGAAAAGATGAATACCAGGTTTACCAGTTGATGATGACCACACTCCCAAAGAGAGGATAGCTTTCAGAATTTGGAAGCTAATTTAATTGTGTGTGGGGTGGGAGGGGGATGTGTAGGATTTTATCTTATTTTTTAACCGCTACAATATGGTACAGGGTAATGCAGTTTCCACATATGGACGGTACTTTATGGTTTCACTGCCTGAGCTACTGAGTTTAGGGCTTAGTGCAGCCCTGTGAGCTTTTTTTAAATGTGGAGTGCCATTTATTTGTGCAGCGCTTGAGTTGTTATTCTCAATATAGCCGGTAGCTGGTTTACGTGTGGGCTGGTGAAATACCTTATGTAATAATTCTAAGTGTGTTAGCCAACTTGTTGTGCCTAATTACTTCCATCACAACAAAATGCATTTCTGGTGGTGACTGTTGGCTTTAGTACCTCTAGCAACTGCCATATGCATTTATTGGGTGCACATATTTTTAGATTGAGCCAGGACTAATTGTTCACCAGTTTTTCAAATGCGACACTGAGGGACATTTCATTTGATTTTCACTGGCACAGGAATGGAGCAAGTGTGGGGGGAACTTGAGTGCAGTGAAGTTGAAACCTCGACTAAGACTAAGACAAGGTAAAGATGCATTACTGTTCATGACCCAAGAAGGCACTCATCCCTACCCCTCACCATAAAATGCCTTCTTCCCACTTAGATTAACCAGAATTTGTAGTATGAAACATTTACATTAAAGGTGGCACCTTTTCTGAATACCATAGGCATCTTCCATGCTCCTAAAAAGTTGAAGGTTCAAGTCTAGAGGATCAACTTCATTGCACCGGGTTTTATCCCATATGACACAGTTTCTGTCAGCAGAAAGGCTAGCCACCCTCCGAGAGAGCCGCACAGAACACGAGCTCTGTAGCTCTGGCGACAATTTGCAGAGATCGCCATAAAAACTGCACTTATGAACTGAACGGCACAGCCCTGAAATGAACCAACAACCTTCAGAACGTGAGGCAAATGGCTTGACCACTTCACCTCTGAGATCCACTCTTCATGCTCCAGTCTTATCTTGCATATGAAGCCTAAACTAATGAGGAACTCAGTCAGTATAGCATGTCACATAAACAGCGTAAATGCTCCGAGAGTTATTGAAGTTTGGTCTCACATGCGGTACTGGTTCTGGAGTAACCACAGAAAAGGACTTGATCTTTCATCATTGGTCTCTAAGGAGAAAGAGCAGAAATATTAAAGTGATGTTCATATCATCTCTGGGTAAAAGTAACCTTGATCTCCCTACACTTCGCCCATATACACACTAGCTCACTTGTGATTGGTCGTTCCTGAAACTGTCACCTTGGCACAAGGTTACAGGGGTGTTCCGCAATGCCATTGACATCGCATGTTGTATATTTCAGCAGGCCAGCGCTCTTAACACTCCAAAAACATGGAAAATAGTCCCAACACAACCACCTCTAGAGCGTGCTGCAACCTATGTCATTGGCATTCTCTTTCTTGGAATGAAAATGTAAATGCAAGTCAAGACAGTAAGCAAACAACAGAGCGGGACACTCCCTTAACTTTTAGGAAAGTCGACCAGCCCAACAAACTTGTTAATGAAAAGTGAACTACTTTGTTTGGGGAGATTTACATGAACCTAACCCTTCTCTCAACTTGTATCACTATCTAACGTTTGCCTGCCTTGTCCTCCAGTTTGTTTGTTTTATTATTATATATATATTCAGTGGAACGTAAACTCTATGGACCATTGAATGAACTAACAACGACAGTGAAATTTATACAAGAGACAAAACTGCTGATATAGACAACTTATTTCAGGCGAACGAAAGAAGAAGAAGAATATATATATTTTTATTATTTTGCAGACTCTTGGATTTTTCTTCAAAGACACCCTGAAGCACATGGGAGTTACTCTGGTCATATCGTTGCCAGTTACAGCTGCGTTGATCTTCATTATCCAGGCTGGAGGCGACTACTTTTTCATTTATGCGTGGCTGTTTGCACTAATTGTTTCCCTGGTAAGTAACATATTTCTGTATATCATTGCAGATTATTCAGCCCACAGACTTTTATGGTAGTTTTTTTTTAAATGTCACTGTAATTACCACTGGTTTTTTTTTTTCAACTTTGTCAAAAATCTAGTCTTTGTATTTGTTTTTAATTTTACATCCTCTTCTTCTTCTTCTTCTCTTCCACCATTTACCTCAGCAAGGTGTTGGGGAAAGATGTAAGGTTCGTTTGTGCACTTTTTCCAATGCATTGAACAAGTTGGTGTTAATTTCTTTTAGGTTGCTCCTGATGGCGTCACTTCATATCTTGCGTGGTCTTCCGCTTGCTCTGTGTTCATTATATCTATTTAGCATGTCTCTCTGTGGCAGTTGGTACCAGGGAATTATCGTCAAGTGGCCAAACCATCTCACTTGTTGTTCTTTAATGAACTGGTTTAGTCCTAGTCTTCTTTTAATTTCTATATTCCTGATTTTATCTGTTCTTGTCACACCAGCAGCTCTCTTAAGACATCTCATCTGTTGTTATTTTACATTTTTTGTTGTTGTTGTTGCTGTTGAGTGAGGGGATTTCAGTCCAGTGCCAGATGATGTTGTGAGTGTCCGTAATTGTATTTTTAGTCTCTCCAACAATTACCATTAGCCTTACAAAAGGAGGCAAGATCCATGATAGCACAGTGGCTAGACACTTGCCTCTTACCTAACTGTCTTGTGTTCGAAACAATGGACTTTTATGGAGATTTTTTTTTTTAATTCACCGTAAGCCACTGTGTTCTGTAACTTAGCCAAAAATCTGGCTTTTGCTTTTGATTTTATTTTACATGAATCACTCATATCTTTCATATTTATTAATTTAATTTTGTTAATTGTTTTATTTTTCTAAGTTACATAGCAGTTAGATTAGCTGTCTTCTAAGTAGTTTAACAACTGTCAACATAGCTCTTGAGATCAGTGGAACTCACAAACCCTTATACCAGACACTATCATAGGGACACTAGAGAGGTTCTGAAAGGTTTTAATGAATGAAATAGTAGAATCTGCAGTTCTTATTTTCTCCTTTTTTCCCGACTTAGACCCCTCTCCCCCCACCCCCCCTCACGACCAACTTGAGTGGGTTTCAGTCCATCTCTAAGCAGTGCTGTTTGTCCCAGTAATTATATTGTCATCTATCCAATAGGTACCAGGAGCCTCACAAAAGGAGGTGGGATTTGCGGTACCATATGGGTTTACAAATTAATGCATATTTATTGACTCCATGAACATAGTAGGGAATGTTTGGATAGAAATGTTAGTTAGTTGTGTATCCTTTACAGGACATCGGAGAACCAAGCCCAGCATGTTTTGGCTGTTGTGGTTTTTATGGGCAAATTTACTTTCAGTAGTTTACCATTTGATGAGTAAAGAAAAGATAAAATGCATCCATACCTCAAGAACTGAATGTTGAAGAAGGTTGGCTATTAAAGACGATAAAACACAGAAAAATTGAACTATTTTGGTCACTTGCAACGTCACAAAAGTTTAGAGAACTGTAACGGAGGGGTACATGCCTGAGAAGAGAGGATTAGGAAGGCCATAGAGAAGATGGGTGCAGGATGTGGCAGATGGTCCCCAGGTGGGTGTATCAGACGCAGGACATCTTGCTTGTGATCGAGTTTTCCCGAGGGTTGTTATGGGAGCAAGGTTCTGCAAAAGACATGGCTACTGACTGACTGAGTTTGCCATTGTTTTCTAAACGATTGGCCCTCGGTACGTCTGTCGAAACCAAGATGTTCTGCTGCAAAATTGCCTGCAGCTGGGATCAAACCTGGCACCCTGGCATTACAAAGTTCATTCGCACACCTAAGCCACAGATGCAGACGAATAGATGTGTAGGACTCATTAAAAGACAACACTCCTATAAAAACATACTGGATTTTTTTTTTCAAGTCAAAAGGCAAGAGGTAAGCAATGATACAAGTGAGAGAACAATATCAAGAGATGGTTAAACAGTAGTTTGAGAGAGTGTACATCTAAGACAAAGGACAGAATGTATGGGAGTTCCATTATAGCCAACCTTCACTGCGGAGATGGCACCTGATTGACTGAGGACTGTGGATTTTATTGTTTTGTTAGGACATGCTGTTGTCAGCAGCAACAAAAATTGATTAACAGACAGATGCCATACTCTCTCTATCTGCTGCTTTTTTGTCAAAAAAGTTCATCAAAGGGGGGAAAACAGACATCTTAGATGACATTTAAATATCTTGGCACAGCTGCTGGTTTTGATGACATGGGCAAGACATTGGCCTCATGAGACGTCATGGTCAAGTAAGGAGTTGATGGACTTTATTTATTAGAGAATTTAAAAAAACCGGATGAACCGACACCAGACTGATGTGTGCAGGCAACTGGCCTGTAAATGACTACTAAAACGATGATTTTTCTGCCCTAGAACTTGGATCTCTGAACCGTGACGATCCAGATGTTCAGCAATTTGGCCTCCTGAGTAAACTTACTTGAATAGCCCTTACATAGGCTGACATGGTTCATTTCACATGATTGCCAGACTTTCAGATCAGGTGTCTTTGTGTTACCCGTGCATTTTTGCCCTAGTTTGTTGGTTGTTACTAGTTTTCTAATTTTTTTTAAATATATATTTGTTTATTCTTGACTTCATTATAGGTAATTTTTACTGTTTATGCTGACTACATTGCTCCACTGTTTGACAAATTTACACCGCTGCCCGACGGAGAGCTTCGCTCGCGCATTGAAGAGCTGGCTAGCAATATTAAATTCCCTCTCAAAAAGCTCTTTGTTGTAGAAGGTAATTTTTTTTCATTTTGTCTTAAATTGTAACTTTTCATGATTTGATTTTTAACTCTCACATTTTTGTTTTTTCGTGATTATAATCATGTTCTGCCTGCCAGCCTGTAGGTCTAGAGTTCAAATGTCTGTCAAGCGGATTTTCTCATAATTGACCTTGGCTTGAAGGTCAGCCTAGCCTGAACTCTTTGAGTCCCAGGGGGTTTAGCATCACAGGCCCAGGGGGTAGTAAAAAGAGTCATAAAATTGGCGCATCATGCGTTTATTGGGCTTCTAAGTAGGAACCTATGAACGTATGATGTGCGTTCCTTAACTGATTCAGTTGTCCATCTACTGAGTCTAGCGCTTGGTGCAAGGTTCATCAAGTGCCAGTTTTTCTATCAAAATGCAGGTCTAGCACTGTGAGCCGGACACGATGCTGCCGTGAGAAGGGTCTTTTACTTTGCTTATACTAATATTAATTAATCTTGTTGTTCTGTTGCTGCTTTAGGGGTCGGGAGAAATTATGGTTCTGGTTCATGCTTTTCCACCTGCCTGTCCATAAATACCTAATACAGGCATAGAGTTTCTTGATGTTATTTTTTTTCACCGTGTTTTTGATCTGCCAGCATAATTAGCATTATTATTATGTGTTGAATGGCAAATAAATGTAGTAATATTTTAATTAATATGAAATGTATGAACTTAACGCTTTTGATACCAGAAGGTTTCACAATAATAAACATTAGTCAAATCTGTAAAAGGGATGTATATGCAGCACTCAGGTTCTGGAACTTTCCGCCAAAGTTTACAGCCAGTGATCACAAAGAAAGAACAAGAAGAAAAGTGGCAATATACACATCAGCAGAGACCATTTGCAAAAGCCGGGTGTTTTTAATATATTCTGATCAAATATGGAAAAAGTAAGAAGCAGATTATTCTCTGGAAAGGAATCAGATCCCCGTGTGGATTCCGGGGCCCGTTTATAGGAAAAACAAGAATAGACCCACTGCCTACCCAAAAGCAAGTCGTAAGAGTCGACTTATTGGGAGCTTCCTTCGAAGTCGGAGTGCATCTGCATGAGAGGCAAGGAACCAGCAGTCTGCACACAAATATGTCAGAGCTGTAAAACAGATGCACACGCAACACTCAGGTTTTCGAACAGGACTGCAGTCCAGAAGTGGATGAACAACCAGAACTTTCCGCCAGAGTTTACAGCTGGTGACCGCAAAGAAGAAGACGAAGAAGAAGAAATCAGAGGGTAGGTTCTTTAACACATCAGGCGCTGCTTGGGACTGAAGAATTTGAAAAATGACATCTATACATGGTGGGAGGAGCTCCGTTCCTTAAAAATTATTAGAGGTGGGGGTGCTCAAAGTGCCTGAGTACCCAGGTTACGTTGCCTTTGCTGTATAGTAATTGGACAAGGCACCTTTATTTCCTCAAAACTTAACAAAGAGAGCCCCCTTTCCTCCAGCAGTACATCATCAATGGTACCAAGGGCTGTGAGAAGTTGTAATCTTGTAGTACCTCAGCAATACACCATGATACTACAAGTCTGTACCCCTCTAAACACCATGATACTACAAGTCTGTACCCCTCTAAACACCATGATACTACAAGTCTGTACCCCTCTAAACACCATTATACTACAAGTCTGTCTTCTTCTTCTTCACTTCCTCTTTTACCGCTGAGGGTGTCGAGGGAGATATAAGGTTCTGTTTCTAGCTATTCTGGCTGCCTCGACCATAGGCACATCGTGCTGTTGTAGAGTTTCTATGATGTTATCCTTCCATCTTGTTCTTGGTCTACCCCGTGCTCTACGTCCTTCTTCTCTTTCCATGTATGCTTTGTATTGTGTGGTGTCACAAGGCATTCTCTCTAAGTGGGCAAACCATTTCACTTGCTGTCTTTGTATGTAATCAAGAATTGGTTCTGTGCCGACTTGTTCTCTTATGATCTCATTCCTGATCTTATCTCTTATGGTCACTCCTACAGCCCTTCTCAGACATCTCATTTCCATGGTTACTAATTTTCTTTTATGGTTTGTTGTGAGTGACCATGTCTGGCACTGGTAGCACAGAGTTGGAATAAATATGCTTTGAATAAGATGTCTCTTTATGCTGATTGGGATTGTCTTATGCTGTAAGAGGGGAGCTAGCTGTCCCAATAATTGGTTTGCTTTACTGCATCTAATGTCAATTTCTTTATCCAATTTCCCATCTTCGGTAAATGTAGTTCCCAGATATTTAAACTCAGATGCCTGTTTAATTCTTTTTTCCTATTGACATTACTTCTGTCTTTTCAGTGTTGTTTCTCATATTATTTGTTTTACATTCTTCATTAATGGATGTTAGATGTTGTTGCAATTTCATGGCTGTATCTGCTATCAAGGCCTGGTCATCTGCAAAGAGTAATTCGTTGATCTTACTAAGATCTTCATTCATGGGCTTGGCATTCTTGCATATACTGTCGATGTAGGTGATAAACAGCAGTGGTGATAAGACACACCCCTGTCTTACTCCAGATGTCACTGTGAAAGGATGAGATGTTCCCTGATTTATTCTAACTACACTTCTACAATCCCTGTATAAACTTTTGTACACTTCGATGAGGTGTTCGCTTACTCCATATCTTGCCATTATTTTCCATAATAATTGTCTGTCGACTCTGTCAAATGCCTTCTCCTGGTCTACGAATGCCACAAATAAGTTCTAATTGTATTCAATGTTCTTTTCTATTAACTGTTTAAGTGTGAAGATTGCATCTGTGCAGCTTCTATTTCTCCTAAATCCCATCTGTTCTTCTGCCAGCTGTGGTTCTATCACTGGTCTCAGTCTTGTTTCTATTATCTTGGCATACATTTTTGCCAACATGGCTTAAAAGAAAGATGCCTCGATATTGACCGCATTCTCGTTTGCTTCCTTTGTTCTTCCACAATGGTATAACTATTGCATGTTGCCAATCAAAAGGAGCCGTTTGTTATACCCATGCTGCATTGAAAATTCTGTGAAGCCATCTGATGCTGCTTGAATTTTTTCTGTTGGTAATCTAACAGCTCCTGGTGCTTTATATTTGGGAGACTGTTTAATGACTTTTTCTATTTCATCCATTAGTATGTGTGGTTCTAACACTGTTGCTCTGTGCTCTTCAGTTGTTCTTTCCTGATGATCTCCTAGAGGATTAAAGAGCTCATTGAAGTATTCCCTCCATCTTTCTGCTATCTCAGGTGGATCTATCAATGGCCTTCCTATCTTATCATTTATTATTTCAGTGGGGTTGTAGCTCTCATCTCTTTTCCGCATATTTTTAACTACTTTGAAAAATTTTCCCTTAACATTGCCATGGTCAGATACCGTTTGATCAGTCCGTTTATATCTCATTTTGATTTCTCTAGCGGTAATACATCCATTGCCGGCTTGCTAGGCCTGTCGCAACTTCACCAGAGCCCTGTTGGCCAGGACGTTTCGGGGTGACCCAGGGTCTGTACCCCTCTAAAAATTAGAAGACTCAGATTGTCACACAACTTGCCCTGGCTGCATTCAAATTGTGTACAGTGTTATTTGATGCCTCCTCCTCATTAGTGATGCTGTCATACCGTTTTCTTTTTCTTCTTCGTTTTTCACATTCACCAGCTGTAAACTCTGGCGGAAAGTTATGGTTGTTCATCCACTTATGGACTGCAGTCGCATTCCAGAACCTGATTGTTGAGTGTGCATCCGTTTTACAGATCTGACTCATTTGTATGCAGACTGCTAGTACCTTGCCTCTCAGGCAGATGCAATCTGACTTCAAAGGAAGCTCCCAATTAGTCCAGTCTTACGACATGCGTTTGGGTAGGCAGTGGGTCTATTCTTGTTTTCTCCACAATAGGGCCCCGGAACCCACCCGGGGATACTGTTTAATTATCTTTATTCCACACAGGCACTAGTTAAATGAATGACTGGTTTTCACTAGGAACTGTTTTGAGTGTTGTCTATGTTTCTGGCCCATACAGCATTAATTTGTCAAGTCTGTAGTTTACCAGTAATTTCTTGTGTCTTTTGTAACCAGGCTCCAAGAGGTCTTCGCACAGCAATGCTTACTTCTACGGCTTCTTTAACAACAAGCGCATTGTTTTGTTTGATACTCTCCTTGAGGACTATACCCCTGACAACAAGAAAGAGGAGGGCGGTGAACAAGCAGCTGATGCAGATGATAGTAAACAGGTACATTCAAGTTAATCTTTTTCTTCCTAGATGTTGAATGTTGAATAAGGAAGTGAAATCCTAGCACTGGGGACACTTCCATAAGTGCTCTGTCCCCATTTTCAGCAGCAAGCGAAGAGTTCCAATTACGATGGTACTAGTAACTGTCTGATTGTACATCTATTTCGCCGTTCCGTTGAGTGTCGGGCAGATCCCCTGGTAACTCTCCACCGTGCCTTTCTCCTCAGATCGTAATGGTCTATTTGTGCCTCCTCACTGTTCACTCGCACCCATAGGGTCCTCACAACATCTAGTTTGTCATACATCAGTTCACCACCAGGTGGTGCAAAACCGACCAGTCTATCTGCCTGCTCATTTCCCAACACACCAGTCTGACCTGTAGAGAATATCCAAAGAATCCTAACTACCCAGAACCTCAGAAGCTATGCTTACCACTCTGCATGGAGCATGCATGTCTTCACCTTTGTTAACATATTCTTCCTAGATGAAACACCCGTCCACAGATTGTGTCGTAACCATTAGGTGCCCCAATATTTATATGGTTGAGCGCTGTTTCTGGCATATGCTACTTTTATATTCCTATCAAATTGTGGCTGTTTAGATCACTGCGTGTGAATCTATGATGCAACAGTTTTGAATGGGTAAAGTTTAAATTTTAAAATGTGTCTTCCTCTTCCTTTTCTTCTTTGTCTGCTTCTTTTTCTTCTTCTTTTTTGTCTTCTTCTTCTACTGTTTTTTTTTTATCTTTAATCTTCCAGAGAAGCATGGAATTATTGAGGAAGTAGAAATTATCTGGCCAGGTAATACTTAAGTAAATTGTTTTGGTTATTATTTTCAATGTAATCTGTAATATTTGTATCATAGGGAGATATTTCTCTTTTTAAGTGTCATTTATATTTTTCCTGTACAATTTTGTTCTTCAGAAAAATGATACGGAATCTAATGAAAGCAAAAACTCTGAAGATGATGGACAGCCAATAAACGAAAATAAAGAGAGTGATACAGAGAATAAAGAAAAGACAGAAGAGGGTGAAGCAACGAAAAAGAAAAAGAAAGGTTGCAGCAACAATGAGGTCTTAGCTGTTCTGAGTCATGAGTTAGGTCACTGGTACCTCAACCATGTTTTGAAACAGCTGATTTTGTCTCAGGTAAGTCAAATGTGCATGATTGTTTCATTTGTGTAGCTGTTACTGACTCTGTGAGTGTGACAAAGCATTGTTTTGTGTTCTTTGAGTATGGATTTTTTTTTTTAAACAGTTGTCTGAAATAAACAAACAGAAAATTGTGTGTGTGAATTTTTTTTTTTTTGTTTAATGACACAGTGATGATTCTTTTTCTGAATGTTATTTACTCTGTTACAGAGACAGAAGACTGTACAGTTCAAGTATAATTGACACAGATTTTTTATCCACATTAAGGCAGATGTTTATTTTATCACAACTGTCAATCAAGGCTAAAATGAATATAAAAAAGTAAAGGTGGCAGTTGTGATGTTGATATCATCCCCTTGTATATGGACTGTTCTGTGGGGAAAAAATTGTATAGCGCTATATGCCCAGGGGGCACTGTACTGGCTAGATACCCACCTGCCAACCAGAAGTCTTGTGTTCAAATCTGCATCAAGGTGAATTTGTTTCCCTTCAGAACTGACCTTAGCTCCCAGGTCGACCCAACATAAAATAGGTTCCAGATTATGTCTGGAAAGTATAGGTGGCCAGCGAGATGTTGACTGTATCAACCGAGGGCTGAGATGTTGACCAAATCAACCGGGGGCAGAGATGTTGACCATATCAACCCAGGGCTGAGATGTTGACCATATCAACCCAGGGCTGAGATGTTGACCATATCAACCGAGGACCAACTGGTCTGTAAAAGTATGAGTTTCCTGTCCTATGCTTGATGCACCACGGTTGTGAAAATGGTCCTTAAAATTTTCTAAAGCTCTTTCAGTCACAACCAATGCTTCATGTGTGATCAGCTACTGCTCATGTGTCCCAAATAACGCATAATGTGATCCAGTTTTTCTAATAAACATTTGACCCTGTAGGCTACAAATTCAGTGTCTATTCTGTCCATGTGTCTGAGTGTGTTTTAATTTTGTCAGTCCCATAAGATAACTTTAGAGATACCAGACGAGTACTTCACCTCAAGGAATAAAGCATACATGCACTACTTTCACCGGGCAGCATAAAGCTTAGAATATAAAACAAAGTATGTTGAATTTTAGCATACAGGGTAAATATATATATATGTGTGTGTGTGCGTGAGTGTGTTAAAAAAATGTATATATATATGTATAAAATTTTCTTATATCATTTACAGGTTAACCTGTTCCTGCAGAAAATGCAAATAAATATATACATATATTAATATATACAATTTTCTTATTTCATTTGCAGGTTAACCTGTTCTTGTGCTTTTTAGTGTTTGCTCTACTCATGAAGAAGACCATCCTGTACTCAGCCTTTGGTTTTGATACCCAGCCAACATTAATTGGGCTCATCATTATATTTCAGTTCATATTTGCTCCATATAATGAGGTTTGTATGCTCACATGTCATTAGTGTTGTTTTATTATTTTTCTAATAGTTACACTCTGACTTTAATGGAAATACCCCTAATTGGTCACCTCCTACAACCTGCTTGTTTGGGAGGGGGAGCAGTGGGTCTGTTTTTGTCCCCCTCCCACACTGCGACCCGGAACCCACATGGGCAGTCTTGATAAGTGACATAATTAAAAAGGAATCTGAAGAGGGTAATCAGTGACCGCTAATGATAATGAGAAAATAAGACGTAATAATTTGTAATTAAAAATCCATTTGTTTGCAGGTAAGCTCCCTCCTAAATGCTGTGTTTAGTATATATAATTATTTCTGGTCCTAAACGTTACCATAGGGGCAAACTATACTGTTTCTGTTTGTTAGCTATATGCTTCTTTTGAACAAGCCACTACAGCAAGTCAATAAAGCAACTCTCTTGGTTGACTGGACCCAACAGGAAGTGTCAGTCTTGTGTCTTCTCTGGGTGACCGCTGGTTGTTTATTAACTTGCACAAAGCTGGTTATAAAATTTTTCATGATTGATTGGATTTTGGAGATACAGTTTTCAAGATAAGGTAACCTTCTTAGCCACCTTTTAGGATATGCGTGGTAGAAGTAATTCTGGGCTCTTTTGCAGGAAATCTCAGTTCGATCCCTGATAGGAGATGGGATTTTTTTTCTTTCAAATAAGAGCAAATCCTAACTTGCACAAATTTGTGACATCTGCAATAGCTGTGCTGCCTTTAATCCCCAGGCTCATGCCCCCCCCTTTCCTCTTCCCACTTTAAACCCTACACAGCCCTAGAAGTAGTAAGTAAGTGTAGACAGCAAAGAGTTTTCTAGCAGGCTGCAGTATTTGCTATTCTTGTCTTTCTTTATGGGTTCCAGTTATACATGAATCCGCTGAACTATGACTAATGAGCTTAACAAAGAAAGACAGAAGAACATTGTACACACACAAGACAAGTCATACATTTTGGCTGGAGCCTTCCTCCACATGAACGACCAAAACATCTTATTTGTCTTGTGTGTTTACATTGTTTGTCCCCTCCCCCTTTCCATTAAGCTTAAGAAGTCACAGCTCAGTGGACTAATTTCTTAGGATTAGCTTGATGGCTGTTACCCCTGTTTTCATCACTTTCAAGGTGTACATAAATGTATTTATACCTAACTTCCCTAAAACATTACAGGTCACTTCAGTACATATACTAATTTATTATTATATAATATGTTAATGTACTCATCAATTTAATGCATTTCTATAATTTTTTTAATAGGTCCTGTCATTCATCATCACACACATTTCCCGCAAGTTTGAGTTCCAAGCTGATGCATTTGCTCTCAAGTTGAAATATGGCAACCTGCTGCAGTCTGCTCTGATCAAACTGAATGAAGACAACCTGAGCTTTCCTCTGAGTGACTGGTTGTATTCTGCTTGGCATTTCTCACATCCTCCCCTTTTAGACAGACTGAAGGCTCTCAAGCAGGACGAGAAAGGCAGCAAAAAGACACAGTAGTTGTTTAAAGAAAGGCTGGTTGATTCTCTTGTAGTCTTACTTCTGAAATATTTGATTGATTTGTGAGCATATTTCTTGAAGACAAAAATATTTACTTTAAAAAAAAAATATTTAATGTTAGGTACATTCACATCTTGTTTTTATAAGAAGCTACATGATTATAGTATAAAAATTTACTTTTTAACAACAGATACCATCAAAAAAAAAAAAAAAGTTATATATAAAAGAGGGGTTGTTGAACCTATTGTTGGCTTTCTTCTGAAACATTGAACTAGTTTTGTAGTTTGTGAGCATCACCCCTCCCCCCCCCCCCCCCCCCCCCCCCCCCCCCCCCCCCCCCCCCCCCCCCCCCCCCCCCCCCCCCATCACCCCCCCCCCCCCCCCCCCCCACCCCCCCCCCCCCCCCCCCCCCCCCCCCTCCCCCCCCCCCCCCCCCCCCAAAGAAAAAACAGGAAAAAGAAAGAATCTGTTTCATAAACCGCCATTTTAACATATTTGATCTTCCCACTTTTTATGAAAATAAAAATATTATCCTCAATTAAAACTTTAAAGTTTCAACATTAAGTCAGGGCCACCTCCACAAAGAAGATGGTCTTCCGTGTATTTTTAGTTTAAAACACGATCATTTACATAAGTTAATTACACTAGAGCTAGACAAGATTTTGAGTTTGTTTTATGTGCTCACTTTTACTCTTGACTTGTTTTGTTTTCTGTGTACAAACTCTCACCTCTAACTTGTTGTTCCTCTGTTTAAGAATGCTGATTAGTAAATATATGTGATTGAGATTTGTTCAGGGTTTGCTTATTTCTTACATTTTTTTAAACTCTAGACCACTCTAAATCAAATTAACCCATAACCCACCAATTCTTTAAAAGAATAATATAATTTAACCATCAACATAGTTTAGACAGAGTTGACTTTTTCATAAATGACCTTGACTCTTAGGTCAAAACCCAGCCTTGAGTGGGTTCCGGGTGCACTCCCAGGAAGTAAAGATGGCCGGCGTGATGCTGACCACATCACCCATCTTGTGATGATTGGACTAAAAAAATATAGGTCTAGCCCTATTAGAAAAGGGCTGGACATATCACGTAGAGAAAACATCAAAAACAATGAAAATAAAATGAAAATTTGGGGGCGGCATTCACCATATTTAATTATAAAATAACATGAAATGGTTCAGCCAACTTAACTTCTAACAGACCATATACGTCAGTTAACAATAATGTTTCTACGTGGCCTTTACAATACTGCCCAGATTTTGTACTATGGAGAGGAGGAACTTCTTTCTTAGCCTTAATTGATTTCACCATGGACTGTGATTTCCGTGCCTGCCCATAAGTACAATGGAACACTAGTTATTGTTTGGAAAGATGGAAAGAGCGAACAACAAGTCGAAATGGAAAGAAGGGCAGACCATGTAAATGATGGTCAGAGGAATAAGAGAGTTCCCTGGGAACCAACACACAAACTGGCACTCACCTGCTGTTTATACTTCATCTTAACACCACAAGATACAATGGGAACAAGATAGATGACATTTTTTAGATTTTATGTCATAGTATTTCCAGGGACAAGGGAATATGAAATAGTTAAGATTTACTGTCATAGTATTTCCAGGGACAAGGGAATATGAAATAATTTAGATTTACTGTCATAGTATTTCTATGGACAAGGGGATATGAAATAGTTTAGATTTACCGTCATAGTATTTCCAGCGGCAAGGGAATATGAAATAGTTAAGATTTACTGTCATAGTATTTTCAGGGGCAAAGCAATATGAAATAATGTAGATATCAGTTAGTCTTTCCTCTTGGGCAGAGGTCATAGCTCTCCATGTCTGGCTGTTTGTTGACCCCTTTGCGTCAGGTCTTGGATGTTTATTAGGCCCATGGCTGAGCCTTCCCTAATAATGGTTCTTTGTAGAGTCTCTCTTGGTCTTCCTTCTTATCTTTTCCCTTCCTGTGTCCATATAAGGGCTTGATGGGGAAGTCTTGTCTTATCCATTCAGAGTGCATGGCCGATGTAGTTCCATGGGCGCTTTCTTATAAAACTTAATACTTTGTCTTGCTTGGTCTCTTGTCTTATTTGCATCTTGGATCTGAAACTTGTTCAATGGAGATTTAGTATTCTTCTAAGACTTTTGTTCTCAAAACTAAATTTTTTTTTTAAATCTAGAGCTACCGTTGCTTTCCAGCTCTCGCAACCATAAGTTAGCACTGGAATCACGTAAGAGTTAGGGATCTTTTCTGTGTGATTGCTGAGTATCTTTGACTTCCAGATGTGTGACAGTTTGTTGAAGGCACTAAATGCCAGTGCGATTCTAGATGATATTTCTGGTGCTGAGTCCCCTATAGATGTTATCTTACTTTCTAGGTATGTAAAGCTGTTGACTTTAAGAAGTGACCATTTAGTTTAATGTCATCTGAACTATTGGTAAGATCAATAATTGTTATTATTGCGATGTTAATTTTGAGTCCGATTTTTCCTGAAACATTCTGGAGATGGTCTGTTCTCTCTCGGATATCTGGGTGCGTTGAACTCAAAAGCTCTGTTTCCTCAGCACAGTCAATGTCTTCTAGAATTTTGTCAACCCATTTGATACCCATATTTGTATTATTTGTGCATTTACACATGACCCAATTGACTGCTATTCCAAAGAGCATCGGTAATTGTACACAGCCTTGTTTCACTCCTGTGTCAACTGGGAACCAGTCAGAGTTGCCGGATTTTGTGCTTACACTGCAACGTGTTTCACTGTAGAAGGATTTTATGATGAATTTGGTAGGGTATAGTATTTCCAAGGGCAAGAGAAATAGTTGACATTTTGCAATGATGCTTTCTTTACCCTGCTTGTGTTAAAGACTGGCAAGTATTTCTGTCTTTGCCCTATTCTCAATGGCATGAGCTTTTACTGCATTCCTAACTACTTGCCTATTTGTTACTACTGTCAAACATGATCAACGCTCTCTAAGGAGCCATACACAGCTTTTTCATATAAAAAAATGCAGAATGGCACTTAGATTTCTCTAAATTCTGTCAGTTTTATTACATTTACTTAAGGGGGCTGCATGGTCTCTAGGCATGGTGTCCGCCTCGAGTGCTAGAGGTTTGGGTTCAATCCCCGGTAAGGGCTGGGATTTGTTCACGTGGATTTGGACTTCTAGTATTTCCCCTGGTCTCTGGGTAGTGAGATTGGACGCCTGTGTGCATTGTTGCACACGTAAAAAATTCCTTGGCAGTCAAAAATATACCCAAAGTATTTCAGGATCCTGGCCAGTGCTACAGAGCCTGTGCACCTTGCTGAGCTTTTTCAGACTCAGACTTGAGTTTTAAAAAAAGAACAGAGGACTTATGGGTTAAAACCCGTGTGCCATGATGTTGATCCATTGTTCAAACTTCAAACATTTACTCAAACACGGTTTACCTACATGCATAATTTTCACTAGCATTCACCGTTAAACTATTATGCATATGTAATTTAAATGACATTGTCACCACATCCTTTGACATCTGGTTCACAAATGACCACGAGCTAACCTCTCGTCCTTACTCATTGGTCTCTTCAGCCTTGGGTATTCCGTAGCAAACATATTCTTGCATGGGCTTCCTGTCTGGCTTGTTATAACCTTGAGCTAGCACTCAAAACAAGGTCATCAAGATTACTATCATAATATTTCCAGAGGCAACAGATCGACTTCGGTATCCATCTTCTCTCCATACTTACTATATAATGAAACAAAAACCTGCTGTACAAGGTCTTCTTTGTTAACTTTTGCTTCCTGTCTTCCCCTTTTTGGTTCCAGGGCCCCATTTGGGGGCGGTGGGGGCATAGACCCACTGCCCTCTAACAAGCATGTCATAAGAGGTGACTAATTAGGAGGCTGCTGAAATACTTTGTTCTGGGCCAAAAGAGGCAGATGTTATGGCCTAGCTAAAACCAAAACACACTGTGCTATGCGTCCATTAAATGGTGAATACTGAAGGAAATTCCTGTCCAAGACAACATAAATATGAGACAAATGTATACATTAAACCACATTTGTTACATGTTAGCTTGTCATTCAGAATTTTGTTTACATTTGCATTTAGGAAGAATTGTATTCATAATTATGGGGATTCTCTGTTTGTTGTGTTATTTACGCTATAGTGCTGAAAAATACATATCCAAATTAGAAAACTTTGAAAAGATCCTTTTTTTTGGGTCAGTTTTTCTATGATTATGCTTAATGAAATTAATTTTACTTTAGTTATTAGTTTACTTTTCTGTCTTCAGACATTTTTTTGTGCATGATAAAAGTCCAGAAAGGATCACTTTTGACTCCATGAGACACACATGGTATATGGTGCCAACACAGATATTTTTAGACCACTCAGCATTCGATGGCTGATTTCAGTATAATGCTGGCTGGCTCTACTTCCCAGGACATGCCTGGTACCTATTTTAAGCTGAGTTGATCTAAAAGCTTGTATCTAAACTACTGCTTCTTTGTATTCACCGACTGTAAACTCCGGTTTTCTTCAGTCCGTTATTTTCCTTTGCTCCTATTCTCTTTCTGATTTTACCAGTCTACTCAAAACAGTCTGTGACACTTTGTTCCCACGAATCTACCTCAGTACGTGTATCATTAAAGTTCTGCTTGCACACATGTTTACATCATAGTAGAGGCCGGCTTTGACATCTTTCTACCCATTTGTAATTCACCAGAGAACATGTTCTAGGGGTCTCTGCCATCCTCCATTCTCTGAGTGTGATGAGAGTAATTTTTCTGATGTCATGGTCAACAGACTCCAGACCTCAGCCCAGACATCAGACATCATACACAAAAGGGTTTTCAGAAGATGACTGTCTGTTTGAGGTATGATGTCAGCCAGACTCAGTGGTGAAACTTGAGGGAAATCAATGCATTGGGCCTTTTAACATCATCAGGACAGTAGACCTGTTCCTCCATGCTGATTACGTAACAGTGAACCTCTGACTAGGTCAACACAATTGCTG